GGGATACGGAGATTCCATATTTGATATTTGCAATGTTGCCAGATTTGCCGTTTCTCTGATATTATTAGTAACTTTGGTTTTTCAAATGCATCACCCTGTATATTCAGTCATTATTAGAATCTTCTATTCAATACGAGTTCAACTATAAGTAACACTTATGATTTTTTATAGTCTGGAAGGTCTTAAATACATAAAACAGAAGTCTGCAACGCTAATTGTTCAATAATTTTTTTAATACTAATTATTTTCAACTACATTAAAACGTAACAATTGATAGATTAGACCATTTTTTTAACAATAGTTACGTTATTAAGTGTTCAAAATATGCTCAATTTGTGAGTTGACAGTACCCTAATCGATGGTAGAATGCGTCTACCACATTTCTCCATGATTGTCTAGAAATTATTTGAGATTAATCGATAATTCGTTGCCTTTGCTCTGCAAGACTTGGCTGGTTAAGTTTTGTAAACTGAATTTTTCAAGTATCCCTAATAAAAATAATCTTTAGGATTGAAATCGGGTGAACGTGGAGGCCATTCAATTCTACCTTGTCTACCAATTTATCGTACGGAAAATATCTCATTTAAATAACGCCGAACATTTACACCAACTATCTGACGTTAAATTTCCTTCGATAAAAAATGACCCAATTGACTAAGTACCTACTATACCTGATCATACATTTAATTTTTGTGGTCTGGTATGGTTTTCACGCATTCAGTGTGAATTTCATACGAGTTCAACTATTCAATACGAGTTCAAAAATATGTAACACTTATGATTGTATGTAGTCTGGAAGGTCTTGAATACATAAAACAGTGCAAAATATGTAGATTTTAATAAATTTAAATATTTAAATGTAGAATGCTGTGATATTGACATTTGTTCACGATTTACATTATAAACTAAAACTGACAGTAGTTGTGTTTCGAAAAGTTCTGCAATTTAAATTGCTTCTCTAAAATGCCATTCTCTAAACCGTTCTCCTATTCATAAGGCGACGGTACAAAAAACTGTAAAGCGATTTGAGAAATCTGAAGAAGGTAAAGACAGATGGAAAGAGAAAAGTTTGTTGAAGATCCACATACATCCTCAGGCAGGGTTGCGCAAGTACATGATGTAGGTCGTTCTTCAGTCTTACGTATATTACGTAAAAATAAGTTTAAACCATACAAAATAAACTTATTGCAAGAATTAAGTGAAGATGACTTCGATCTTAGATTAGAGTTTACTGAGGTAATGATGGATAAAATTGAAAATTATTAAAATTTCGTTAACAGAATATGTTTTCCGATGAAGCAATCTTTACACTGTGTGGAAGTGTAAATCGACACAATTTAAGGTACTGGAGTGACGCAAATTCACACTGAATGCGTGAAAACCATACTCAAAGACCACAAAAATTAAATGTATCGTCAGGTATAGTAGGTACTCAGTCAATTGGGACATTTTTTATCGAAAAAAATTTAACGTCAGATAGTTGGTGTAAATGTTCGGCGTTATTTAGATGAGATATTTCCCGGACGATAAATTGGTAGACAAGGTAAAATTGAATGGCCTTCACGTTCACCCGATTTCAATCATAAAGATTATTTTTATTAGGATACTTGAAAAATTCAGTTTACAAAACGTAACCAGCAAGTCTTGCAGAGCTAAGGCAACGAATTATCGATGAATCTCGAATTGTTTCTAGACCATCATGGAGAAATTTGATAGACGCATTCTACCATCGATTAGGGTACTGTCAACTCATAAATTGAGCACATTTTGAACACTTAATAACGTAACTATTGTTAAAAAATGTTCTAATCTATCAATTGTTAAGTTTTATTATATGTAGTTTGATATTAATAATTAGTATTAAAAAATTTATTGAAACAATTAGGCGTTGCCAGACTTGTGTTTTATGTATTTAAGACCTTTCAGACTACATAAAATCATAAGTGTTACATATGGTTGAACTCGTATTGAATAGGAGATTCCAATAATGACTAAATATACAGGGTGATGCATTTAAAAAACCAAAGTTACTAATAATATAAGAGAAACGGAAAATCTGGCAACATTGCAAATATCAAATATGGAATCTCCGTATCCCAAAATAGGTGTACTTCAAATTTTGTACAATTATGATTAGCAATTTACGAGATAATTTTCCGTTTCCAGACTTTTGGGCCACTCTGTATAATAGGTAAATATTAAAGGAAATTGTTATGTTTAAATTGGTTGGGTATGCTTAGTGTTCTTTAAAGAGAAAAAAACTGCATTTAGAATGTCATCGTTATTAATTACAGAGGGTTGATAAAACATTTATGTGCATGCTTCTGTTTGCATGCTTGATGAGTATATTGCTTTTAATTGTAGAAAATTAATTAGTATTTGATAGGGTGTTAATTTTCACGGCAACAAAAATTGCGGGTGCTTCCAAAGCGTAAGAAAGGACTTTCGTGCCTTCTGATTCATAATATTCCGCCATCTATCAAATGAACTGCAGAAATTTGTTTCAGGAAAATAGTATTTTCATATAATTGGAAAAAATATCTAATAACCAAGAACTTTTCACTATGTTTAATAGTTTTTTCCTTCGATATCCTTCTCTAATTTTGATAATAACAAGTAAAGTTCTGAAGCTATTTTCTTGTGGCATTGTAAATTAATTACTATTTAACTGGGAATAAGCCACAATTAAAGATAAAAATACGTTTATTGACGTTTCAAATTTCCACTTCGGAAATCGTTCTCAAAATACAAACAGTAAAGTTACTTAACAAGTAATTAATTAACAAGTAAAGCTTATAAATAATATTGTATAAGTGCTATAAAGGCTATAGCGGAATAAGGTGGTAAAATCTGTACTCGACTGGATTTTTTTTGGAATTGGCACTTGGAAGTACATATTTAGAAACCCCTTTAGCCAAATTTGTAGCTCCCAAATGTAATCTCCCATATTTAAACTCCCCGTGTTAAAAAAATGTGATATTTAGAATAACAATTTTTTCTGGGCGAACATTTACTTTAAAAAATCTGAAAAAATTTACAAATATTTTACACCTACATAACCAAAAACTCTCTGGAAAATATTTTTCCTAAGTTCAATTTTGATCCAAAAAATCTGAAAAAAAAATCAGAGTGTTTTTGGTATGAAAACATTTAAATGATAATAATCAATTGAATAAGGGGGAGGGGAGAGAAACAAAAATTTTTATTTGTCACTTTTTTATTGTTATTTAACTTTTAACAAAAATTGTTATTTAAATGAGGTTATGTGTTTAAAAGCATGGGAAAGAATATCAAAAAATGGGCTTTTTCAAATTTTTACGTTTTTTGGAGCGAAAATTAAAGATCTAACAAAAGAATGGAGAAAAATACACGAAAAATAATTATTTAGAAGTTTGCCTAAAATTACCTACATAATCTAAAAACTTTTGAAAAATTCAAAATTTTTCCTGAACCCAATTTTGATTTAAAAAATCTGAAAAAAATCAGTGAGTTTCTGTGTAGTAAAATGGATATCAGTAAATTTTTTCAGATTTTTGAAAGCAAAGAATCGTTGAGAAAAAAAATTTTTTTTTGAAAAAATACTTTTTTTGCGATACTGGACCCCAGGAGCTACAAATTTGACTAAATGGATTTTGAAATACATACTTTGAGGTACCCAACCCCAAATAAAAATTCAGAGTGCAGATTTTACAATCTTATCCGGCTATAGAGAGATATTTTATGTGTTATGGGCAAAGCTCCTACTATTCAAATAATAGATTGTTAAATTGATTCAATGTAATAAAATACAATAATGGCACAAGAAATGTAGTGTGTAAATAGTCCAATGTGAGTTAAAATGTGTATTAAAAATTTTAGTTTGTAGATAAAGAGGTCATTTGGCTTCGTAGATCTTACCACACTCTGAGACCTGAATGATCCTTTGTATATTGCCCAAATCTATGTTTGTGGCTTTGTGGTAGCTTCAGCACCTCCTGTGGATCCTCTTCTGAATCGAGTCATTGCTTCAATAAACTTAAAACTGTTTCTGCAATGCTCAGTTGACCTTTGTTGGTCCTTGCTGAGCTTCATCTCGGTTTTTACAATTCGTTTTCAGTAGTTCTTCTGATTTTCGGAAGTATTATGTAAAACGGGATCCAGTTCCATAGTTTCCATGTGACTGGGGCTGTGCTATTCCTCTTACTGTATTCTTTGTTTAGTCTTTGTCCATTCTTATCTAACAAGAAGCTAGAGAAGGTGATCCTTCTTAGCATAAACCCACATCTCGAGGGAAAGTCAATCAAATCGGAATGTTAGCTGACACACAGAGTTATCATCCTTAGGTTTCACTCAGTTTTGGTCAACTCACAGAATAAGCGATTCAGCATGATGAACCTCTTCACCACGACAATGCCTCATGACTCTCGATGAGGTAAATGTTCGCTTAGAAAATGTTATAGCGTAAATAAAATAAATTCGCTTCACACATCGAATATTACAAAAAAAAAAGATTTACTTTTAATTTAATATTTAATGATTTAGTAGCATGTTGTTCTAGATGTAGAACATTCCTTTTTTACCTACAAAAATTTAATTAGAATCTGTTTAAAAACTCTTAAAACTGCAGCCAATAGTATCAGCTATCTATTTTGTCTAATAGGTTTTTTGGTTATTTAAATGGATTTGGAAGTATTAGATATCTTCTAATATGATTTAATAGGTGTATAAATTATTTTTGAATAATTGTAAATATATATTATAGCTTCTTAATATCATCAAACACTCGAAACAAAACTTAGAATTCAGGTAATTAGGTTAGTACAGCAACAAAAATGATTGGTTAGTTGATATTCTTCCTCATAACATATTGTTTAACAGCTAAATCTGTGTTTCGTATCAAATTAAAGTGTGCAAACGCAAAAATTTTCCCCAACCTTGGATATTTATGTTAATTACATCATAATGTTGTGTGTGTCTTTTTCAACTTAAAACATTTATTGTGTACTTTTCTATATTTGTAGGCGATTTGCCCACTTATTTAACCCGATTTACTTGGGACATCGCCAAATATCCCATCAAGCAATCGCTTCGTAACATCGCCGATATAATCAGCAAACAAGTTGGCCAAATCGACGCTGATCTGAAGACCAAATCGTCTGCATACAATAACTTGAAAGGAAGTCTTCAGAATTTGGAGAAGAAACAGACGTAAGTATTATTTTGATTGTAAGAAAATAGTTACATCAATTTGATTACATATTTATTAATAGTAAGAAGTTGTAACTTATCCCAGTACATTTTAGGGTATTGAATTCCGATATGACGATAGTAAAATATAGTATTCGCTTTTACGTATTTAGTCCTTTTGGATATCTCAGAGCTGGTTTATAGAAACGGATGAAGGTTCCACGTCTGGAATGTTCAAGATCAAATGTGTGACTTGTATGGAGATGGTAGGAATCGGAGTTCTGAAAGGAAATGAAATATACATCCTATTTTTCGATTCTTCGATTTGATTGGTCTATGTATAAGATCGTAGGCAATTTGCACAAAGGATTTCATAAATTCCGTGTTGTTCATTTGGTATGTTGTCTTTGACGAATCGGAGAAGAGAATCGGAAAATTTTACCTCTTTTAACCCTCAACAAAAACTTGTTTTTTTTTTTATGATATTGACTGAAGTACGAGAACCAGTCTCCAATCTTCTTCTTAGAGTGTCTAGTGAGTCTCCCCCAGTCAATCGTTTGAGTCCAACTTTGTTCAATAGAGTTCTTCAATCGATGCGTTAGTATTTACCGTATTTTGTTGATAGCAATTTCGTATCGATTTAATTCTATTATCAAAAAAGAGCTGTGCACTAGAGCGCGTCACATTCACACTGCCTATCTGATTCAACACGTAATAGTCCCCATTTCGCCTAAAAGTTCCTTTTAAACTTAGGCACTCCGACTTACAGTCGATTGAGAGTTTTCTGTGCAGGCAAAGGCAGGTTGCTACCAACTGAGAGTTCTTATGGAGGCTCTAGATGTATAGGAATAGCTTCTTTCCAGTTGATAAGACGAGTTCTTTCTGGTGGATCTTATAGATGGATTGATAAGTGTTTCCTAGATTTGAAACTTCGTGCTGTGGGCTGGTAATTATGAAGTAAAAGTAGACGGCGCTTTCAGTTTGTTTATCTCTATCAACTTTTCTTCTGATATCAGGTGGAGCGATCCCAATAATAGGATAGATCGTAGTGATGAGTGTGGGTTTCAGACATCTGCTAATGATTCTTGCCGACTCTTTGATAGATACATCTCTATATCTAGTATGTGCTGAGGCTTCTCATACCGTTGTAGCATATTATGCATCCGAAACACACGAGTGCAAGCGTCGATTAGTAGGCGGAAGCAACGTACTTGTGTATTTTCGAGATTTGGCTTGAGGTAGTTAGATTGGTAGTAGTTGCCATTGGTTTCAAGGTTTCACTCAGTGTTGTGCATATTTCTTTAGTAATACGGCAGAGTCTGGATTTAGTTTTTGAACGAAGTGAATACCACATCGAGGAATATTTAATTATATGAATTTATCCTAGTTTTCAGGTATTGAATGAATTTTTCCAAATGTGATTTTTTGAAGTTAAATTTTCGTTTAAATGGTGATTCTTGTAGTTTTATTACAGCGCTTAGAGCGCACATCATTATATTGTATTGGGTACGAGGAATTACATTTCCAACATTGGGTTGCTATTTTGTTTGATACAAAAATATTGCTTGGATTGTATCCCGTCGTCCATCTGGCATTATTGAAAGAGGAGTTGGCATAGTGTCAGTTGATCTGTCCATAACTCCAGCTGTTTACCATTGTCATCAGTCCCCTGTAGCCTCATGAAAAACACTGATAATTGAAATAACCTACGATGCTGGTATTGTGGTAGTTAAAATTGTCAGTTTACGTGAGATCACAGAGCAATTTGATGGGTAGGTAGTGTGAATTTCTAGATTGTTGAATTCAGTGAGAGTAGAAGATACTATGCTATGTTCAAACCAGACGGATAAGGATACCACTTCCATATATTTCACTTGGTTTTTCAATTACATACCAGATGTATTAAGTTTGTGAAAAATCATCTCTCTGTGGGTTTCTTGCATTATAAGCACGTCCTTTTGTGTTTGGCATACCTCTCAGATAATAAATTTTCCTTATCTCTAAAGCATTGTGGCATATTATGTTGGTATATATTTATATGTGAAGTATTTTTTGACTCCATTAATTTATATTTTGAGCCGTTTGAATGCAGTCATACACATATGTGCCTGCCATTTGTGAAATTTGATCAACATAGCATGTGGGTATAGCGAATATCTGTATATGTTCCGTCAAAATGAATTAAGATGTTCAAAATGATTGGTTCTAAAGATGATAGTTTTGTTAAAATCATTTACCTAAGGTATGCCCGATCACAAAGGTAAAGCTCTTTATTCTCTTTGATAATGCTTGACAACGATAATCTTCATGGAGATTCCATGGTACCCATTAGATATGTGACTTATGTGAGAGTAATAACTAATTTTTCACGGAGGTGAGTAATTGATGGATTCCCGGTAATTCAAGTTGAAAGAAGACTAATTCTTACTAGATCTTGTCAATAATTTCATAATTTTTGTAATCTGAGAGATTTTGGTAACTTTTAATATTAGGAGAAACAAATGAACAGCATTAGTTGCTGCAATATACGCTAAATTTTTTCTTGAATTAACCAAAATTCATTAGTGTATAAAAAACGGAAAATTTCAATTATTCTTTATTAAAGATTTAGACAAATAGTTGGTATAACTTCATCAATAGTTTTTTGTTGCAGAGGAAGTTTACTAACAAGAAACTTGGCCGATTTGGTGAAAAAGGAACATTTTATTTTGGATTCTGAATATTTGCAGACATTGTTGGTTATTGTTCCAAAGTAAGTATTGGAAAGTTTGTAAACAAAACTTAATAACATGATTTAATAATTTATCCTTTACGTATTAGGAAAAATTAATAAATTAGAAGAATAGATGATTTTATATTTTCTGATGTTCTCACGAGCTGTTTTTTTTTTTTATTTTTAAGCGTTTGTAAAGTCAAAACGTTTCAATAAAGAACATTAAATATTTTAATTTAGTTCTTAGCAATAACATTCAGTCTCATCTTCTTAAAAATTTCTATAATCTCATAACGCTGCCTATGTCAAAAGCTATTTCAAAATAGTCGATAAAACAAGTATGAACATTTAAAACTTCAGTAATTTAGCAGCTCGCTGCGATCATTTACATAAACTTCACATACTACGTTCCACGGATTATAATTGTATTATTTTGTTTTTAGAGCCCAGTTCAACGAATGGAATGCAACATACGAAAAGATTACCGACATGATAGTGCCCCGTTCTTCGCAACTCATTACCCAGGATAACGAATACGGTCTATATACTGTATCCCTATTCAAAAAGGTCGTTGAAGAATTCAAGTTACATGCAAGAGAAAAGAAGTTCATCGTTCGTGATTTTACCTATAACGAAGAGGAACTGGCAGCTGGAAAGAACGAGATAACCAAACTCGTCACTGATAAAAAGAAGCAATTTGTAAGAAAATATTTATTCACAGATTTCTTTCGTTAAAATGAGTTATAAAAGGAAAAATTCCTTATAGAAAAGGATCTAAATTTATATTTCTTGTATAAAATATATAGAGTTGATTTGCAATTTATCATTATGAACATTATTATGCATAAAACTAACAGCGATTTCGCCGTCTACTGAATATTTGCACTATCTAAACTTTTCCGTTAAATATAGATTTTTCTTGGCGTTTTTTTTTTCACCAAAACAATAATGTATTGCTCTGTTAATTCTCGGTCGGGAGGAATATTGGTTCCAACACGGTCGGGAATAATGTATCTGAAAAAACGTTATTGACTTAACTACGTTTTTATTATTGCTGTATTTGTGATCTTAAAAGCACAGATATGTGTTATTAAGCATTGTCAAGCTTTAAGGGGTTACATAGGTCTTGTATTTTCAAAAAATTGATTTTTTCCACATGAAAGTATTGAACTTCAAGTGTATTCACACCAAATTTAAAGTAAATCCAAACTATATTATGGGGTAGCACTTTTCTACGATCCTGGTGGTAAATAGGTCTACTTCAGGGAAGCGTCCCTGCCCACGCGAGCCATGCTTTGCTTTCAATTCCTTACTGAGAGAAATCATGTCCCATTCCTTTATCCTTCCAAAATCTAGTTTCCTACTTCCTATCCATCCCTGGTGAAGCGCAGCAGCGATCATCAGTACCAGTTCAAGGCGTAGAGGAAATTATCCTGGACCGGCTTGAAACTGGATTACCACAAGCTTGACTGGAGCAGTTTAAATGGTTGTGGTACTGCGATGGGGAAGGCAACGGGAAAACCACCCCATTATATTTCCACAAATCTAAATAGCAGACGAGAAAAAGAAAATGGCCCTCAGTCCGGGCCACCCCTTAAATGGGGAGAGAGTGTGAAGAATCCTCCCGTCAACTACCCAAGAAAGTGGACAGAGAATACAAATATACGACCGAATAGTTCGCATTGCCACCTGGAACGTACGCAGCTTATTTATGTCCGGGAAACTGGCAAATACTGAAGCCTAGATGGTAAGACTGAAAATAGACATCTTGGGGATGAGTGAAGTATGTTCGTTCAATCACGAAACAATATATAAAGATGAACTGTGCAAAGTTTCAGCAAAAATGGTCGATTCGTTCTCGGGAAATCGTGCCTATCGCATGGAAAAACAAGAAAAACGCGTTTGAAGTTTTTAAACTGAGAGTGCACATACCGACCGAGTGTTATTAAAATCTCTTTAATTCTGGGAAAATTGCTTGAATTTACTTCAAATTTGTTGTTAATACTTTTTAAGTACTATACTTTAATATGGAATAAAACAAAATAAACCAATTTTTTGAAAATACAACCTCTTAAAAACATTTAGAAGATCACCTTTTCCCATCACTTAATAATTTTGTTGTAAAATCACCTTGATAATAGTAGTAAAACATAAAATATTCGACCACGTAGTGTATTATTCAGGGTTTCATTACTTTTTCCAAATCTTTTGGTAGTCAAAAAAGTTTTTCAAGTAAAGTATTTGATGCTTACACTAAGGAATTAAATATTTAATAAGCATTATTTTTGTAGGGACCATTAGTTAGATGGCTTAAAGTCAACTTCAGCGAGTGTTTCTGCGCTTGGATTCACGTTAAAGCGTTGAGGGTATTTGTTGAATCTGTTTTAAGGTAAGTTATCTTTCTGCTCGTATAAACGTGAATCGGTTACAAAGTCAATTTAAAAAATATAATGGTATATCGAGAAGAATACTACATTGATATTTTTATTTTCAGATATGGCCTTCCCGTCAATTTCCAAGCTATTTTAATTCACCCCAATAAAAAACAATTAAAACGGTTAAGAGATGTCTTGAACCAACTTTACGGCCACCTCGATAGTAGTGCTGCCCTTTCAGGACCTAACGTTGATGTAAGTAAAAACTACTGCTGAAAGACACACTATAAAACTATCTTAACCTTAAAACTTACTGACAGTCTCCTCCTGGTTTTCTTGCATTACCTTTATAATTTTCATATTCTTCCCCACACGGCCTCGCTTTTTTAATAATTTATGATTTACAATTGTCTTTTTTACCTCTTTTTTTACGTTTTTTCTAAAATCAGATCATTATTCGTGCCATTTATTGCAGTCATCATGATCGTTTTGTTTACAAATGACAATTCCGCACCGAAACAACTCGTTCATGTTGATCAGTCGATGACTCATGTGCTTTTCGCATGGAATGGGTATTTATATTAAGCTCTAGTTCATTACAGCAAGTCGAGGCTGATGTCGTTTCTGCTTAGCTGGTGCGTTGACGAATAAAAAGCAGATGTATGAAGAAATGACAATATTGCCAAAAATTTACTCACGTTGTTTCTGTAAATACCAATTAATTTATAGTTTGGTAGACATACGTTTATGTAGGTAGAGGAACTATGCAACTAAAGACTAAGCAGAAATAGGAACTACGACTAATGCTCCTGAGTTGAATTTTGTTGATATAGCTCGTACGGTATTCTCTCACGCTTATTCTTAAAATATATGTACAGTAGACTCGCGATTATCCGAGGTAATTGGGACCGGGACTACCTCGAATACCGAAAAAACTCGGTTAACATAGATTGGTTATATATACTGATAAAAAAATGTGTACCTACGCAAATAATGATTAATGTGTTTATTTTAATAATTAAAAACTAATATAAAAGTAGTATAAAAGATAAAACAATTTACCTTATAAATGTTTATTGTTTAAAAAGTCTTTGATTGATTTTTGTTTTAACTTCATTCCTCTTTTTGAGGCGGCGATGTTGCGCCAACGTTGAAAATTGAGCACGTGTAATGGTGTCGATTCTTCTTGTTGCTCGATGTATGCGAGGGCTGCTTCAAGGGACTTCAATCCATCGGAATGAGAAATTTTTTGAGTTATCTCATCTGTATCTTCTTCATCTTCTTCATGAGTGACGTTTAGAACTAGATTGGCAATTGCATCATCTGTCACAGAAAACAGTGGAGGCATGTTGTCGAGTCGGCTAAAACCCACGAAGGGTTGTAACGCCACGGAGTAAGTAAGTAAGTATCATCTGTCAGTTCCATGTCGTCATCTAGATTCATCCAATCGATGATGTCTTGGTTGTTCTACTGGTAATTGATTGGCTAGGTTGGTTATATAATCAACTTCACAGTCATCAGTTTCATTTTGAACGTCTTTTGTTGTTTATCTTAAATAATTTTTTCCACGACTTCTGAATAGTGGACACTTCTACATCGTCCCAAGCAGATGCAATCCAATAGCAAACATCTTTAACCGTGATTTTCATCAATGTCTCAATTACAGTCAGCCCTTCATCCAGCTTAGTTAGCAGTACCTGAAGAAGCTTCCGCCGATAATTCCTCTTCATTGCTTCTATAATGCCTTGGTCTAGGGGTTGGATGAGAGACGTCACATTGGGTGGAAGGAACACAGCTCGTATGTCACCACTAATCAATTCACTCGCATCTGGGTGGGATCGTGCGTTGTCCAACAACAACAAAGCTTTCCGAGGCAGATTTTTGTTTATTAGGTAGGCATCAATGACTGGCACAGTCATTAAAAAACCAGTCCTTAAAAGTGTTACAGTCCATCCATGCATTGCGTTGGTTGCTATAGATTGTAGGTAAGCAATTTATTTGGACGTTTTTGAATGCTCTTGGATTTCTGGATTTGCCGATTAAAAGAGGTTTTAATTTTAATGAACCAGAAGCATTGTTGCAAATCATGATTGTGACTCTATCTTTGCTTTTTTTGTAACCTGGTGCAGTTCCTTCATTTTTAGCAGCTAGTGTTTTCGATGGAAGCATTTTAAAGTTAAGGCCTGCCTCATCACCGTTAAATATTTGGTCTGAAGTTAGTCCATCTTTAAGGATAATGTCTTGTAATTTTAAATAAAATGTTCCAATTTCAGTTGAGTCAGCAGAAAGTTTTTCGCCACAAATATTCAATTGTCGGATGCCATATTTCTTTTTCCATAAGTCAATCCATCCTTCACTAGCACAAAAGTTTTCTCCTCCATCCATAAACTTCTTCTGGAATTCGATAGCTTTTGCTTGGAGTATTGGACCACTTATCGGACTGCCCAATCCTCTCATTTGTGAAAACCACAAGAGCAATGCTTCAGAAGTTTGTTCATAGTCCCCTTTCTTCATAGTCTTCCGGGCCAATCCACTACCACCACTCATACTTCGGTTAACCCACTGTTCGATTTTATTCCGCTTACGTTTCCAATCTCCAACAGTTACTTCTCCGACACCTAAATCTGAAGCAACCTTCTTTATTGATTCACCCTTGTAAAACCTCCTAATTGCATTCACTTTTGTTTCTGAAGATACAACTACTCTCTTCCGCTTTTCACTCATATTGCACAGAAAGATGCTCTCTTACACTCACAAAAATCAACTTATGAAAAATTAATTATGAAACTTAAACTTATAAACTCGAATAAATACACAAAACAGTACATAAAAGCAAAAATTTCACCGTACAGTAATTTGACTTAATTTGACGATCTGAACGGCAGCAAACAAATAATTTAACGATCTGAACGACAACAAACAAATCGGTAGTTCAATTCACACTGATTAACATAGAAAGTAACAGGAAGTTGTAGACAAAACACGACACAGAAATTTCTGGAAATAAGGCAGTGACCAATTTCTGAGAATACCAACTCGACATCAGCTTGACCTAAACATAATTCTCTTCTTATCAATAATCCACAATTTTCAATGGATTGCCCATATAACAGCTGCCGATATAACTTGTGACCATCGACCCTTTTTTTATTACTCGATATTGTGATTCAACAAGTACGGCTATAAAAGTAAACCCCAGGCAAAATTTTGCCTCGGTTAACCGAGGGGCTCGGATAATAGCCCCTTTTATTGACTCCAACCCATCCAAAACAGTTTATATATATATATATATATATATATATATATATATATATATATATATATATATATATATATAATAAGACTTCGGTTTTTCAAATTTATTAATTGATATATTTTTATTATATTTTCAGAGCGTTGACATTCCAGGCCTCGGATTCGGCCAGTCAGAGTATTACCCATACGTTTACTACAAGTTAAACGTCGACATGTTAGAATCGAAGATCTAAACTCACGCATCAATCCAGACTTTGTTATTAATAGGTTCCAAACAATTTTAAAAAAACGTACTACAAATACAAATAGTATATTTTTGATTACTCACTCTTTTGAGGGGCTGTTTTAATGTCGGTAATTTTAAGTTTTGTCCTTACTCAACGTCCATGTAGTACCCCGTCATTGTATGTAAATTAAAATGGGTAACAAAAATCTAGAACTATTTTTTTATTTGAAAATGCATTTAAAATTCGTTTAACGATGATATATTTGCTTTAGTGTATCATGTAATACTCCAATTGAACATATAAATCGTTATTAATATTATTTCTTGTTGATAACATAAAAGACACCATATTATTAGAAACTGCATTCGAAAATTAAAAAAATATAGATGTATTATGACGTGTGTATGAGGTGACAAGTAACGTGTTTAAGATTTACTTATATCTAAGAAAAAAAATTCAAGAGATCACCTATATTATAGATGTATGTTCCGTAAAATTTACAACAATCTAGAAATGGATTACATATAATTTTTTGTAAAATATTTGCGTCAGAGACTTCAGGTTGTGATACAATATATATTTACTCCTACAGAATATTTGTTGAATATTACCAACACCAACGTCAATTATCCGAAGGGATTTGAAATAATTAATTTATTCATTAATAATGAAGATGCCTAGATAAATAATTTACTCTGAATTTAATCCAAAGTGATGTCATAATTTCAATTGTATTTGTTCTAATAATATATCTACTTGTCTAAAAAGTATATGAAGTTGTTTGAAATGACAGGGTATTATAGGATTGCCCCAACAAAATATTTTAGATGTAGTATGATGCTTCATCAGTGACAATATATTTGACGTGTTTTATTATGGGCCACTCTTTAATGTAAACCAGTATTGATTTATTGTAAATAAATATTGTATATATACTACAAACCAATAAAATATTTTGCCTTTTGAATCTATTTATAAAAGATGATTCCATATTGTAATATAGTTCAATTAGTTGACTACTTTTTTTTTGAATTTATTTCAGAAATAATTTTAAGTGGTTATTTGTTCAATGTACTTGTTAGAAAATAAAACTATTCCAATTGTTGACTAGTTAATTACTTTCTGCTACCACGTCAGTCCCAAAATATAAAAAGTCGACAGTGTGAACGTTTAGATTTACAATAGGTTATTGTTATGGTTGCGCATGTAAGTAAACCATTTAATAAATCAGTGTTTAGCTTAAAGTATTCAAATCATTCAACCGCATTTAATTCCGTCGACAATCGGCGTATCCGTCGAGTAGTACAGCACAGTATTTGTCTGCAGTACGTTTAACTGCAATCCCAAGTTGAATCTGTACCAGATGACTGCGAACGCATCCATAACAAGAAAAGAAACTGAACTAGATATTCCGGAAAAATATACGAGAGCAACAAAACAATCTAAAATAGCTGATTACTGGTTAAACTCACCAATACCGACTTCCAACAAATTTTCAGTATTACACAACGACGCAAACCAGGATGCAGATATAGAAACAAACGGAGTCAGAATACAACTGGTAAAACGCGATCCATATTTGTCTACAGTGTTAAAAATATTACTCCGTTTACCGAACTACTACAAACAATCGTAAACGATGCTTATATAAAAAAAAGACTCGCCAACGACCAAGTAAAAATAATGAAACCTATTTAAGTATTTATTTATTTCAACGGTAGAACCATTTACAATAAAATACAACAAATAGTAAAAAGTCAAGAGCATGTACAATAAACATCAAAACAATAACAAAGAAACAGTTAAAATTTGTGCATTAAAACAGTATATCAAATCTAAGTAAATAGATTAATAGTCAGATTCTTAAGTTGCCTTTTGAAAGCATTAATGTTTGGGCAGAAATGATCAAATAGGAGATCATTGCAAGAACTGAGCATTCTCGACAAGGGAAAATGACGAGCATTATCAGTCCTATGAAAAGGAATATAAAAGAGCCTACCAGAGGATATAATGCCAAGAATATGCAACAGCGAAGCCGTCCCACCACGCTTGTATGGCTTGCCGAAAATACACAAGACGATGTACCTCTACGCTCTATTGTGCCTTTGTAAAAGACTCCGCCCATTTCATTGACAAGATCAAAGAAATAAATTTACAGAAATCTGACATTCTTATTAGCTTTGATGGTGTTTCCCTATTTACTAGAGTTCCCCTAGAAGACGTTCTGAATTTAATTGAGGGACTAGTTTCCAAAAATATGGTGAAATTATACCGTATTTGCCTCACTACCACCTACTTTTCATGGGAAGACCAGATTTATGATCAGATAGATGGAGTAGCAACAAGAAGCCCACCAAGCCCGGTCGTAGCCAACCTTTTCATTGAGCATTTAGAAAAGAGGGTAATGAACTCAGCATACAAGCCAAGGATATGGTTTAGATACGTCGATGACACTTTTGTGATTTGGGATCACGGAGTAAAAAAAACTTAACAATTTCCTGTCTTATATAAACAAATTACATCCAAATATTCAATTTACGATGAAAACATAAAAATATCAACAAATAACGTTCCTAGATATATTAGTAAATCGACAGGAAGGTTACTTAGGACATAAAGTGTATCGAAAACCTACACACACGGACAGATACCTAAACAGGAACTCAAATCATCATCCAAGCCAAAAACAAGGTATCATCAAAACTCTGGCGGAGAGGGCAAAGAGAATTTGTGAATCACAGCATCTCCAAAGTGAACTATTCATATTGAAAAAGCGGTCACCTCTAATGGTTATACCAGAAGAGAAATACATAAAGCGATGAACAACGTCTTTAGAAAAAAGGACGAAGAAACAGAATGTAAAGGCAAAGCGTTCTTGCCCTATTATATACCGGAGGTAACGGACAGAATTGGGCGAATACTTAAGAAAGCCAACGTAAAGACCATTTTCAACCCTACAAAGAAAATCAAGGACTGTTTAAGATCGGTGAAAGACAAACGCGACCCATTAGCAACGGCCCGAGTATACCGAATACCATGCACATGTGGAATGGTATATGTGGGAACCACGAAAAGACACACAAACACAAGGATAAATGAACATAAAAGTCATTGTCGTTTAGGACATATCGACAAATTTGCCGTTGCGGAACACGCTTTGGGAAGCGAAGAACATCGGATACTGTTTGAAGAAACGCAGATGCTGGACAAAACTTCACAGAACTACCCACGGCTGTATCGGGGAGCGGTGGAAATACATAAGCACCCAAATAATTTTAATCGGATAGAAGGACTGAAAATTAACAAGACATGGATACCAATATTAAAATCCACAAACACCCTTTCCGCCAAACACGAAGAAAGAAAGGCTACTACATACGACGACACACTCCCTCAAGCCGAAACCAGCGGAGGGGATGCGAGTGGGAATATTGCCCCCGTAGTACAACGCGGCATCCAGTTTCAGCTTACAAACGAAGCAGTAACATCTCCAGAAGATGCCAACCCCTAGTGTTGGCGAAACGTCGAGAACTAATCTCAAAAGGCAACGGTCTAACAGCCCGAACAAACAGTTTAACAATTAATAACGTTTGGAATTTTAAACAAAAATAACATATCAGCTCTCAACCTGCGGTTCTTCAATGTAGCAATGTTAAATTGAGACATTCGGACCTATTCCATAACTCATTTCGATGATAGAAATGAGTAAAATCGAATCGAAATTGTCAAGTCGAATAGAAATGGTCCTAAATGGTATTCCATAACTTTTTTCATTTCTACAATCGAAATCGTAAGTCGAAATTGATTTCGACAGCGTTTATTCTGTCGAAATGACTTTTCGATATCGAAATTTGATTTGCTAAAACTTTAAATTTTATTTTTATGTACGTAGTAAAATTTTATTTCTAAGTTTTATCATGGATTTTCAATTTAATTTCGGTATCAATCTTGGAATTGAAATTGAAGAAGAGTTACAAAGGTAAATAAAACATTTTGTGATAAAAAAATGTAATAATTAACTTTTTCTATCGGAAATATTTTGAAAGATACCTGTGTATTTGTTTATCATTATCTTTTTGATTTCTGTAGGCAAATATTCAATCTTCAAAGACGAACTGTTAGGGATGCAAGTAATCCTTTCGAAATCCCTGAAGACTTGTTTAAGGGCTTGTACCGTTTACCCAAAGAAATAGCAATGGACCTTATAAATGAAATTGAACCTTTTTTGGCCGATAAAAAAAGAATTACACATGTACCGAATCATTTAAAGGTAAAGCAACTTAAGATATAATTTATTTATTAAATATTGTTATGTGTACTATAATAAAATATACTTTTATATATACTATAAGTTATATGAGGTACTTAAATAAGTTTGCTTTCAGGTTTTGTGTGCTTTAAATTTTTATGGCCAAGGCAGTTATCAAAAAGGTGTTGGACAAGACTTTTTACTGGGAATGAGTCAGCCAGTAGTTAGTCGGTGTATAAAAAGTGTTAGTGAAATACTTTCAACTCAAATAAGTGGAAGGTACATTCAATTTCCCAGTACAATAGAAGAAAAACACATAATAACTCAAGGGTGATTATATTTATTTGAATCTGTTAATCTGACTAATCAGAAATTATTAAAAATGTGGTTTGAATTTTAGCTTTATGGCCAAATTTAACTTCCCAGGAGTAATAGGGTGCATTGACTGCACACATATTGCTATAGTGGCACCTGCTGTAGATCATCCTATACATCCAGGTTTTGCATACCTGAACAGAAAGGGATTTTACAGTATTAATTGCCAACTGGTATGTATTAAAATTTCATAAAATTAGGACAACCACTAATATTTTGTTTAGATATGTGACTCAAATTTGAAAATTTTGAATTGCAATGCAAGATATCCTGGATCCATGCATGATTCAGCCATATGGAACATGTCTAGAATTTCTTTACATATGGAAGAAAGATACAATCATGAGGAACGAGGATTCTGGTTGTTGGGTATCCATACTAAACTTGTTTTTTGAATAAATAATTGTTAAATATATTTTTAGGTGATTCTGGCTATCCTTTACAGCCTTGGCTACTAACTCCAATAGAAGGAGCGCAACAAAATACTCCAGAAGGAAGATATACTTCTGCACATACCACAGTAAGAAACTGTATTGAACGGTGCAATGGGTTGTTAAAAATGCGTTTTCGTTGCCTATTAAAGCATAGAGTTTTGCATTACAGTCCTGTCAGAGCTGCCCATATATTTAATGCATGTTGCATATTACATAACATTCTTGTGTCAAACAATATAGAGCCAGACGAACATCTATTTGTAAATGACCTGGAGGAAAATTTGCAGCAAAATAATTGTAAGTCTATGATTTTGCTTGACAATGTTGTAGTGTTTAGAAAGCATAATAAAAATTAACATACTTCTGTATAAAACTTAAATTTGTATTTTTATTGTAGTACCAGAAGATGATAGATTGGCTGCTGGCAGAAGAGTAAGAAGTCAGTTAATACGAAATTATTTCAATTAAGATTTAAAATATGTATTTGATTTTATTGTTTTTTATCAAATAGATCCCTGAAGTTAAAGTGTACCGGATATATTCGTTTCCCTGAATTTTGACCTATAGTATCATTATTTTATGTTTAATGTTGTGTAAATGAATGTTTTTATGTATAGCAGTTGCTATCAACAAGTCCTCACAGACACTTCGTTTAAGGACTAGCAACCCCAGTGGAGTCGTGTGTTGCCATGTAATAAATTCCTTTTGTAACTTAAACATTATAGTTTATAATTTAAAAAAATGTAACTCTCAATAGTTAATCAAATAACATTTAAAGGGTTTTTACCCACACATTTAGTGGCTTCAAACATGTACATCCAGATACCACAGATGATGGAGTATATTAATTTTGAAAACATTCTGTGATGTAATTTTTAAAATAAAAGTTTTTATGTATATTTAAAAAAATAAAGAAACTGGTAAAAAATGTGTACTTTATTTATTTATTCAGCAAGTCATAATACTAAAATAAAATAATTGCTACCTATACGTTTTAACTTTTTACATTATTTTACTACCTATATCTAAAATTATATAGTGGACACTTCTCACAGTGTCTCTTAATCAGAATACCTAAACAGTATAAATAAATATACATTTATCTAAAATCTTGTTGTAAAAAGGTGATCAACAGAAGTATCACTTCGTGCATCATCATCTGCAACATTAATTCCTAATTCTACTTCCCTAATCCTAATTTCTCTATGCCTTAAGTCTAATTCCTTAGATTTATTTTTAGCTTCTAGTAAACGTATATTTAATTCGAGTTCCTTCAATTCAAGCTCTTTTTCTTTATATTTAGTGTCAGCCTCAGTCTTAGCCACGGAATCAATTAATTTATTTATCATATCGGCAGTCTGCTTTTGTCCTTCCATATAGGCTTCTGCCGCTTTCTGTAAGTTGGATGACTTTCCTAAAAAAATAAAATACTGTGTTGCACATTTACACAATTTTTTAATTAAAATTAAAAACAAAAATCACTTTCTACTGAAATGAAGCGTACCTTTTACAATAGATTTTTTTTTAATTTTTGAGAGGAGTTCACAGGTTGACGCAAATATTGCAGAGGTTCTTCATTATCAAGGTTTCCTCTCCCATGATTTATTGCGCTGCAACCCTCTGCAGCAATTTGTTCCAAGTTTTGGGGTTCCTCGACAACTTCAAATATTACACATTCAGATGGGCTATTATTGTCCTCTATCATGTCCAGTGATTCGCTATTTGGATGCGTTTCAATGCCTATCTCATTTACATCTGTCCCCGTAACTGTAATATATGACAGGGCAGCCATTAGTTTCTCCTCTACAGGAGTTAATATTTTTGAGTCTACTTCACCCCCGCCCGTCTTATTTTTAGCTCTAATAGCATCTCGGGCCTTTTTCTTGGTATTACTTTTCCAGTCAATAAAAGTCTAAAAACAATCATAAATTTAATAGTTACCTGTATTACCAAATCTTTATATAATACTGTATAGTAATAAACACAACTAATTACCTTTTTCCATTGTAATTTTAATTTGCTGGGACCACAACCTATAGCATTTAAAGCTAAAGTAAGCTCATCCCATAATTTTTCAACAAGCTTGTTGTTAGCTTCTGAAGGCTTGGTTTTTCCGTGAATTAAAATTTTATTTTTTGTAATAAAATCCACCATATAATTAAGCTGTTCTATTGATATTTTCTTCTTGCTTGGAGTAGCCATTGGGATTTTATAAATAATTTAAACAATTTAATCAAAACTTCAAATTCAAATTTATCTATCAATCTGTCAATTTCCTATAAAATTCGACGTTGCCACTATTTTTAAACCGAGGAAAATCGAAATCAATGTTTTCGATTTGTGTTTTCTTCGACCCCGGTTATAGAATTCCGATTCAAGTAGTGGTCGATGTGAAACATTACGATTTACAAAGATTTCGATTCGACCGGAGCATTTCGATTCGATCTGAGGAACGTTATGGAATAACGCTGATTATTATAGAATAATCTATGAAATAATTTTCAGTATTTTTTATATTAATATGTGCTTTAAAAGCTAAAGATCTTAGAAACTTCCTGTGAACGCTCTCCAATCCATCAATGTATACTTGATGAAATAGGGACCAGACAACACAGCAATATTCAAGACCTGAGCGTACCAGAGAGCCATACAACAATTTGAATACAATAGGTGAGAGATCATGACTGTTACGATAAATAAAACAAAGATGCACAATCCAATAATACACCCAAATCTCTAATCTCAGTAACTGAATCCAAGAGTACATCATTAAGAACATATCTATTAGCTACTAGATTATTTATACGACCAAATGAAATACAAGAACATTTAGTTGGATTTAAGCTTAAACCATTTTGTTTTGATCATAAACATATATTATTTACATCATCTTGGAGGAGATCTCTATCCGATTTATTATGTATACAACGAAATAACTTAAGATCATCAGCAAATAGCAGGAAGTGTGAGTTTTTGATAGCCTTATCAATATCGTTAATGAACAAGTTAAAAACCAAGGGACCACAATGAGACCAAAAGATTTTGATTAACTTGGTCAAAGGCCTTTGAGAAATCAGTGTCGAGAAACGCTGTCGATCTGAATTTTATTCTCAAATGCACCCAACAAGTATTGGTAATAGACAAGGTTTATACAGTTGATTTCCCGTTAGAAAAACCATGTTGTTCATCAATAGTTATGTTTCTGAAAGCTCAGGTGAAATTTATCGATACCAATTTACCAAGAAGTTTCGGGATTTTATATATATATATATATATATATATATATATATATATATGTATGTATATATATATATATATATATATATATATATATATATATATATATGTATGTATATATATATATATATATATATATATATATATATATATATATATATATATATATATATATATATGTTGATGTATTTATAGCCAGAGTGAAACCAACAAGGTCCTGAAAGTAGAATAAACTAAAGAATTTAATTTCCGGAACCATACAACTATGAACAGAGAACAAAATCTTTATAAAAACTCTTTAAATTAAGTAATAACTAGGAACCTATATAATAAAAATGATTACTGTACTTCTTAATAGTATGTCAATCATAATATGGAATTATAAAGCATAACCAGAAGTACAGATGATACAAATGAGTATTTTTCGGTAACTGTTACGTTACGTTCCGGTTCCATATTCGTACCTGTTCCAAATACTAGTTACTTTTTAACCTAGTATTTTTACATTTATACGCCGCGCCATGTCTTTTTTCTAATGTTTTACATAAAGTTATATTTTGTATTTTGTTAACTACTCGTGTATTATTTTTTCAAAACGATCTCATTGTTTTTTTTTGTTTTAATTTTTGTGTTAGGTACACTTATCTAGTTTATTTTAGTAAATAGTAAATAATTATTTATAAACTCTTTTAATTTAGTTTCATGAAAAAATGTTTTACGCTCAAACAAAATCAAATTAAAAAACTTCTAAAATAATATAGTAACAGCAAGGGACCAATATTATGACAGATCTAATACGTATAATTTCACATCTTGCATACACCACCGTAATAATCCCGACGTCCGAACCGCCAATCCTCAGTAACTACAAACTAGAACTTTTACCTACTCAAAAAATATAACTGGTCCCGGTGCGTATCAGTATCCAAAATACCAATACCAAAATATCGATATCAAAGCGCAGCGCAGGTATCGAATACAGTAACAGTATCGCCACAGTAACAGTACCAGTTACAGTTACCAGGCTTGATTCATTCTGTGTCCGTCGTGTCGTTGAAAAAATCTAGATGGAACTGGAACTAGTATTTTAGAAAACCGGTAACTGTTACGTTACGTTATATGCTCATACCTATTACCAAATACTTGTTCCTAGTATTTCGTATCATCTCTAACCAGAAGAGAAAAAAGTTATATGTGCTGGACCATTAAAAATATAGAACAAATTTATGATTTTTTATTATAACGATTAAATATTTGTTATGTGTACATAATACTTGTTATGTAAATAAATTTTAATATAAAATCAACATACAATTTAACGATTATTAAACATCTCCCATGCCGTTTGCATCGACCAAATACTTAATGGTCTCATATATGCTACGGCTCTAATATATTTTTTATCATATAGAGCTTCAGGGGTGTCGAAAGCCATCCCGAACTTTTTAGTCATGGAATTGTACATTCCTCCCGCTGTCTTGAATCCTTCCTCGACCATGCCCTAAAATAATTTATTTGTAACGAAAAACAAGTATCATATATAACAAACTAATTATAAATTATTGTAAGGACACATTGTTTTTTGGGATTATAGACAGTTTTTTTTATTAATGTACCTCTAATATCATAGTGGCAGCAAGAGCATACGTAACACCTGTCCATACTTCCACACTCTGCACCGAAGACTCATCTACTTTTCCATCTATTGTACCATTGACGGCACCCATATTCCCATCACAGAAGAGTTGAACATTGCTCTTATATATAGTTTTCAAAGTTGTTTTAACATTATCTTCTGGAAAAACCTAAAAAAATAAAAATTCCTAGGTACAGTGATATTTTTATAAATCTATGTGTTATATAGTCGCCTCGTATTTGTGTGAGACTGTGTAAAAATATATTTATCTGTAATAAAAGCAGACAATAAAAATTAAAATAAAAGTACTCTACCAGTAGTTATTAACTGCAAACTTATCAATGACTGGGATGTATAATAATACAAAGTTTTAATATTCTCATCGATATTTACATTCAGATGTGCTAGGTATTATGCTTGAAAATATGGGCAGTCACCCAGTTAAAGTTTTCGTCGAATTGTTGATTAGCCTACGTGGACCAAGAGCCAAAAATAACATCGGATATCGCTATTAAGACAAATCATCATGCGTTTCTTGTATCGGCAGACTTATGCATCCTTCGAGTAAGATATAACAATATTTGCCTGAGCGACCGAAACCATAAAGTAGTATGTCAGAAAAAATCCCATTTTGGCCGCCCAGTTTACACTTGGGTAGATAGGTATATTTTATTTTTAAACCAGTGAAATCAGATTTTGCGAAACAAGAATATTTTAGTATAACCATAACTACTACAGCGTTCAATTAAATTTAAATAGAGAATTGCAAGTGAGTTTGGTTGTAACTTCATCAGTATTCTTTCTAAACTTCTTTTACCATTTTACGAAGGTAATTTTAAAAAGTGGCATCTGCAGTGTGATAATAATTCTGCAACTGAACGCTGCAGTGGAACCTTCTAATCAATTGGAAGATTTACAAAGCTGTGTAGCAAAACATAAGCGATATGTTCAATACCTCTCTGCTGATGATGCCAAATGTATACTGAAACATATTTATGAAAGACTGTGTTCTGAATTGTATAAATCAGGCAATTGCAGAAACATGTTTTTTAACCAGAGTGCCCACAGCAACCAGCTAAAAGATTATAAGAGAAACATTTTCTTCTAGACAGAGTGGAAAGGATTGTGGCAAATTTAAACAAATAGAACCACATTTAATTGAACCTATAACTAGAACAAGATAAAAAATGAGACATTCTCTCATGCTTAGCAACAATACATCGATTATTTCTTAAAGCCAATAATTTTAAGTACAAAACTATAGACAAGCGCCAGGCCCTAATGGAAAGTACTAGAATAATTTCTTTAAGAAACAGTTAAATCAGACAGATAACTGAGTATCGAAAAATGAAACGAAACATTGTATCATATGTATGATATTTATGACCTGACACTGTGAAAAAAAGTTGGACGATTAATAACAAAAAGTGTTCTAATTCAGCACCGCCCAATAAAGGACAAATAATTATAATTTTACACTGCGGTGGAGAAAATGGATGGACCCACGATGTATTATTAATATCTGCAAAAAAATTAAAGACGCTTCTTTAGATTACCATAAGTATATGGAAAGTTCAATTTTTGAAACATGTTTTGAAAAATCTATTCTTCCGAAATTACCTAAATATAGTGTGTGTGTCATGGACAACGCATCATACCATTCAAGATTAATGAGATATATTCCAAATATAACTTGAAACAAATTACAAATTCAGGATATTTTATTTGAGGAAGATTTGTATTTTGTGGCATCATATAGGAAAAAGCAGTGTTGAAGATTGCTCATAGTAGACAGTATCAGAAGAATATTTTGTTGATAACTGTGTTCGCAATAATGAGCATATCGTGCTTAGACTTCCTTCATATTATTGTACATTGAACCCAATAGAATTAATATGGGCTCAACTTAAAGGGAATATCAGGAGAGGGGACGTGGCTCCTAAATTTTCGTCTATCTTTTTTCCAGTTAATTAGAAGAGAACTCACAAAGATCACAGCAACCAACTGGAAATGTGCACATTGTGTAACTATAAATATTTCGAAAAAGTCCAGAATCTCTATGACTAACGCAGTAACTAGGGAAGAAAAATTGAAAACCAAAAAGCTACCGAAAACAACAAAAATGAAGATACTTCGTAAAATATTTGGAAATACACCCGGAAACAGATAAAAAAAACAGGAGACATATGCAAGATCGCAGATATCAATCAGTGAGTATTAGAAAGAAAAAATAGTAGAATGAACACATTAAAATAACGGAAGATGAAGAGAGATGAGAATCACTTGTGGCAAATAATCAGTAGGACATCGGAGTTTGTTCCGTATTCCGTACGACCGAAGAAATAAAGTGTTTGCAAGATAAAATAGGCAATTTTTACTTACATCATATGTTTTCAATCCAGAACAACCTAAATACCAATGGCCACAAAGCTGATCCGCCATTACCGACTTCGATTGACTTTCGGAACAATCAAAATTGTAATATTTTCCATTCCATAATTTTTTCTCGAAAGCTGGTTTGGCTTTATTTAATATACTTTGAAATGATTGTGCGTCTTTTTCTTTTCCAAGTTGTGCGGCCATTATAGACATTCCTTTGAGAGCACACAGCCATAAACCGCCACAATAGGCACTAAAATATAATTAAAAGACTGATATTTTTTTCTTTCGACTAAAATATAAATTTGTATATCATTTATGAGTAAAAATTGAATACATATTTGTCAATAGGAAGTAAGGCAATAATACACTAGTGAACAAACAATTTAGGTAACTTTGAAATTGTGATTTCAAATGATGAAATTGATTCGATATGATTGTATTAGAAGGCGCATAATAATTTGTTGCTGAAAAAATGTAATCTGTCATATTATGATAGTTCTCACGTAAAGTTACAATATTTACTTTTTTTATAACATTCATTTACCCTAACTTAAAAGTGGAGAATTTAGATTGTTCTGCTTATTTTTCAACTTATTCTTGATTTTCTTAAAATTTATCGATTGCCTTGTGTTAACAAAAATCCTTTAGATCTCATTATAATTAGAATTGTAATATAGTTACAAGACGGTCGCAGGCAACGTGGAACGTAAGTCTAATATTTAGAAGTCCAGGATACAAGCGAAAAAGACCACCCAGAGATGATCGCTTTTTCGTATCTACCTACTGTATTCAAACTAGGTTTAAAGAACAATATAAACTACACTGCTATTACCTGACACCTGACATCGTCCAAGAGTCATACGTTTGGTCCGGTATACCACCGTTTTCAATTAGACCATCTTCGTTTATTTCGTGCTTAATACACTTTTGAATAATAGTATAACACGTAGAGTACATGTCTTCCAAATATTGTAAGTCCGGTTTACTCGGAGAAGAACCGTATGCATCTCTAAACGTTTGCAGAATAAATTTGGAATTCAGATCTCTCCAAGAACTAACATCATGGATTGGGTAAGCGTTGATAAGGGCTAATGGTTCTTCACCTAAAATAAAAAAGTTTTTCAAGAAAGGAACTAAAATTAATATATATAATATACAGTGTAGGAAAAAGTTTATGGTCGGTATGGACCTTACGTGAGATGGAGTGAGAAACAGCTGTTTAGAAAGAGAGAGGTATATTAGGTCCGCCCTTTATATCGCCGAACATGCAAGCGTGGAAATAATAAAAAAGGGGAATTTCAACGTTGCCAAACTTATTGGTTTTATTTGACCTGTTGTCTCTTTTGCATTTGAACAATGTTCTAAGATAATCAAATTTGGGCGAAACTGATTTAAATAGCAGCTTACTGTTTTTTTATTGGGAATATGCCACAAGTTTACTTTACAATAAGTGTAATAAAATATTTTGATTACCACTTCGAAAATCGTTTTATATAAATAAAATTTATTAATGTTTTGTATTTTAAGTACGATTTCCGAATTAAAAGTCTAAACATCAAAATAAGCTTATTTTAAAGTCACATTGTGCCTTATTCCCAATATGAAATAATAAACTGCATACAATAACGCCACATTAAAAAATATTCATATACAATAACTATTTGGCAACGTCTGTCTGGTCACGAGTAACGATTAGTAGAGGTGGGTCGTGGTAGTTTTATCGTTAAGAGCGTAGGCACAAAATTTCGGGCCAATATTTGTTAAATGCATTCATTTTTTTCGAATCCTGAGAAAACTAATAAATATTTTTTAAAAATTTAAACGCAGAATGAAACAATACATTATTACCGAGGGCCGAAAGTCCCTGAAAACTTCTATAATGTTTATTTTAATAAGTTATAGGGACGAAAAAAAAAATTAGTGTGATTTTTAATTTCAAATATCTCATTCAAAAAACTTTTTGTTTATTCTAAGGGACTTTCGGCCCTCGGTAATAACGTAATCTTTCATTCTGCATTTAAAATTTTCAAACATATTTGTTAGTTTTCTCAGGATTCCAGAAAAAAATGAATGCATTTAAAAATTTAAATTTTCGTAAACAAGTAACTATGATTGTTTAAAAGTAGTTTCAAGTAATAGAATACCTACATAAACAAACATAATGGCTATTATCGTTTATGTGTATATTTATTGAAGTGAAAGAAACTAATGATATATTTATTATAACTTGAAAAATAAACTAAACAATACAAATAGTAAATCGTACTTACATTTACATTACACGTTATTATTAAATCGCGAATAGTCTAAATTGACATTAAAAAACATAAGTTTTTCTACTTTACTTCTTATTAACCGTATTCTTTTTTTATTTCAAATTAAACCAGATTTTGAACATGTGTTTACATTTACAATACTTTATGAATATAGTGGTTAGCTGAAGATCTAGGTATGGCAAGAGAGATGGTACAGGAACTCGTTGTGGCTACAGAAAATGTAGGTTTAAATATAAATATCTCGAAAACAAAAATCATGACCAATTTGGTACCCAACTAGAACATCAGTATTGGTGGGAAAGAAATAGAACTCGTAGATAGATATAAATACCTGGGACATGAAATTATGGTTGGCAGGGATAACCAGACTTATGAACTGAAGAGAAGAATCGGCCTTGGGTGGGCAGCATTTGGAAAACTGAGAGAAACTTTTAAAAGTGAGCTGCGCACATGCCTAAAGAGAAAGGTATTTGATCAGTGCGTCCTCCCAGTCTTGACGTACGGAGCAGAAACACTTACCTTAACAAAAGCAGCACATACCAAACTGAGAGTCACGCAGAGAAGAATGGAGCGGTCCATATTAGGAATAACTCTACGAGACAGAATAACCAACGAAGACATCAGGAGAAGAACCGGAGTGACTGACATCATCGAGAAGATAGCCAGACTAAAATGGAGATGGGCAGGACACATAGCCAGAATGACAGATGGGCGACGGACAAAGAGGTTATTGAAAATGGAGGCCAAGGGAAGACAAGAGAAGCGTCGGTCGACCACCTACAAGATGGACTGACGATTTAAGAAGACTCAATAAAAACTGGATAAGAGCGGCGCAAGATAGACGGGGTTGGAAATATGAGGAAGAGGCCTATGTTCAGCAGTGGACTCTTGAGGCTGGATGATGATAGTGGTTAAGTTAGGATATACATGGCGATAGTTTTTCCACCGTTGTAATGGACTCGCGATACAGGTGTACGTGTAGATGAGTCATCTCCAATTAATTGATCAAAAATACACCATGGACTTAAGTCATCTTTATTGATTTCTTTTTCTTGTACTGGTTGATTTTCAATAGTAAAATCTTCTTGTTCGGTAATTATAGAAGTAACCAGCTTCTTAACTTTTTCTTTTATTTTTTTAGCTTCATTTTTATCAGAAAAACCCTGCACTTTAAATGGTGAAACCATAAATGTGCATAATGACAATGTGCCACTCTGTTCTATCCCTTTAAATCATTTTGCTAAACCCGATATTAGTAATTGTACTACGTCGGACACTATGGATGTAAGGTTACCGTTTGCTAAAATTTTATTGCAAGATTCTTGCAGGCAGCGTACCATAACAATCACTGAACTACCCTTCAAGTATTTTTGGTCACTCATTGTACTTGTTATTTCCTTAAACGGCCGTAAAATTTGGGAAAGTTGAGAACAAATAATCCAGTGTTCTTTATTTAGATTTGGTCTAGGTCTTAGTCTGTATTATTTAATACCGATGTGGAACGGTGCCTCTTCTAACTCGGTCATTCTTTTTAACATGTAATAGGTGAAGTTCTACCTAGTTTCCACGTCTTGGATTGGCCGTTTGGGAAGTTTGTTATGTTGTAATTAATACTTTAAAAGCCTTTCTGAAAATAAGGTACTTTTTTTAAATGTGTTTTTTTGCAGAATTGTCGAAAAAAGGACTTTTTATTTTATCTATTTGTACACGACAGCATTTAAGTGCGTCCTCCACCAATAAATTTAACGTATGAGCAAAACAACTTAAATGTTTTCATTCTAAAACATCTTTAATAGCTTTGAACATATTTGAGGCATTATCAGTTACTGCAAAATTTACTTTTCGTTTTAGACCCCACTGATTAATAATTTCACTAATCGCTGTTTTCTGAATTATGGTTTCCAGAAAAATGGCAGCAGCCTAATAAAACCGTTTTAAATATTAAATTTTCGGTTAAATATTGTCCTGTTAATGCGAAGTAACTCTCAGTTACTCCAGATGTCCAGAGGTCAGTAGTAATACAGATATTTTCTACTTATTTAACAACTTGTGATCTAATAATTTGCTCAGTTTTGACATAACATTCCTGAAGTTATAAACCTGACAGTTTTTCTTGTTGGCGGTTTATATCCAGGAATCCACCCTGCAAACTATTTTAAAACCTGGTTCTTCAACTATGGAAAACGGATGAAACGAGTCTTTGCATAAGTTTAGTAAATCTTGAAAATCAACCAGTATAAGAAAAAGTTACGGGAAAAAGAAAATTTAAAAACGGGAGGACCCACCTCTAGTTTTTTAGGTATATTAGGATCGGAACCAGAGAGTATGTAGAGAGGGAAGACCAAGGGGAAATATGATTGTTATCTTTGTCTATTCGCTGAAAATATGATTTTATATCTGCGTTAGATATCTTGTTAAATTTTACCATACCGACCATAAACTTTTACCTACACTGTATATCTTTACGAAGACCTGAAAATAATAAATGTAATACAAAGAAGTTCCTACTGTGTCAACTGCACATATCTACCATATAATTATCAGGTTCTAAATGTTGATTGCACATATACAGGGCCTTATAGAGGTATTGGTATTGATGGTTGCCTACTTAAAATCCAAATATTTCTTTCTATATGCCATTCCACCTCAATAATCAGTACACAATTTTCAAACACAATATTTTAAGCCACATCACACATAAGCCCCTCATTACAATATAATTCTTTCTTTTTTCACTTAGCAGGTTCTATTTCCCATAGCAGCAGTATACACACAAATTCAGGTACCAAATATGAATTTATAATATAAATGGCCTTATCATTAGATCTTTTATCCTCAACCTATTAGGTAGAGTTCCCGTCATATAAAACTGGTACGCTTTTTTTCCCAATGTAAACCTATGTTCAGACTTGACACAATGGTTCGTAAATCAATTCGTTGTTGCCACCACAGATAACGGAATTGCACTAAATCTTAATATAAAAAGAACGTTCAAAAATGTTTTAAGTTTTTATATAGGTATTATTATTATCATTAACAACAAAAAACCGTATCTAATAAATTTAATAACCAGAGAGATGGTTGAGTTAATGGTTAGAATGTTTAAAGGATCTGTAAACGTAGGGTATTGGTACAGGGAACATTGGCATGCATCTACTGTAATTTTGTAATGTGTGTCACACAGCCCACTTTTAGCTGATTTGATACAATATTTTCGTTAAACTGGCAACGTTGTCCTAGAAATTAGAATGACATAATTGACAAGATCAACTTACACAACTTAAAAAAGATTTTTGGTTATAAGAGTTGTACCAGTTTTTTATGACGCGAACGATACATGTATTGATGTTTGCATATTTTAAATTTAAACACTTTCGTAGGCTAGCGATGTACCAAATGTTTTCGATGTGACCTCATTGACTGTCTGGCGTTGTAATACAATAATAATATATCCTCATCATCACTCAATGATGATGTATAAGACGACCTTATCGTTCACAATTCCATTAAGCATACCTGCTACTCAACTTGTTGTTTTCGATGTATTATCATTTTTGTCTGTGCTACATTTAGCTTGATTAAAACTGTTTGCTATATTTTGATTATTTATTTATTTATCGTATGGCATACAATAAGAACAAATACTTAAAAATCAATATAAAACGTTACATGAAGTATTACAAACGAACATCTAATGTATTATTAATATAATGTAAAACATTTTCGATCGCATTCAGGAACTCATCGGAAACTCCAGGGAATCGCCTTCGGGGACATTCTTCAACAATGTGACGGAGTAAGGGCTTTTCCCCATCTATATAAGCTGTCCGCACATCTACCGCTGCTTGTTCTTATTCTGTTTAGCGTTGTCCATGTATTGCGGGTCAGTTCAAAGCCTGGCGGTTTTTGATCAATACAGGCCATTTGATGTGCTTCCTGTGGTGAGTCGCTCTCCCATTGTCTTCTCCAAGCGTTGGTCAGGTTGAAATGTTCTTGATGTAAGGAGTTGGCTCTTAGCAATGGAGGATATCTGGAGCGCAGTCTGTTTATTTCGATATCAAGCTTATCATTGTGGATGGGTAGTTGATGGTTAGCCTCGACTTTTGGATATTCTCTGAGAAGAGAATGACTTCTTCGCAGTTTCGGAGGTGGAATGTAACTCAGAATGGGAAGCCAATAGTTCGGTGTGGGTCTAATTGTACCTGAGATCATTCGCATTGTCTGGTTTAATTGGGTGTCAATAATCTTCGTGTGTTTGCTATTGAACCATACCGGGGAAGCATATTCAGCCACCGAATACACAAGTCCGAGAGCGGATGATCTGAGTACGGAAGCTGAGGACCCCCATGTAATGCCACATAGCGTTTGGACTATATTATTTCTTGTTTTCAGTTTTGCTGTCGTTCTTTGAAGATATTCTTTAAAACTTGATGTTCTGTCTAGAGTCACTCCAAGATAGTTTGGTGTTGAGTTATGAGTGAGCAGTCTGTTTTTGAAGTGGACGGAGAGTTTTTTGTTGGCTTGGGCATTATTCAGATGGAAACAGCACACTTCGGTTTTCGTTGCATTGGGCCGTAGCCTCCATTTGCGAAAGTATCTCCCATAATGGCAAGGTTATCCGCTAGTATTGTTTCTGTGATATCCATGTTATTATGTCTTGCTGCAATGGCCCAATCGTCAGCGTAGCCAAATTTCTGCGAAGTTGTCCTAGGTAGGTCCGCGATGTATAAATTAAGGGTGCCAAAACAGATCCCTGTGGCAGTCTATTGCTGAGCTTTGAACTTGTGACTTGAAAGGTCTGCCGGTGAGCATGTTATCAATGAGTTTAGTTACCTTTTGACACGGGATAGCACGGATTAGTTTTCAGATTAGTCCTTGTCTCCAGACAGTGTTGTATGCAGCTGATAGGTCAATGAAAGCAACGGATGTTTTTTGCTTTCTTTGAAAACCTGCTTCAATATGTGTTGTTAAGGATAGGATCTGATCTGTGCAGCTGCAGTTAGGTCTGAACCCTGCTTGCTCAATAGGTATCAATTCAAATACGTTTCTACTAATTCTGTTGTAGATTAAGCGTTCCAACAGTTTATAGACACAGCTCAGCAAATCAATCGGTCGCTAGTTTTGAGGCTGATTATTTGCCTTTCCTGGTTTTAATATGGCTATAATGGAGGCCTTTTTAGTGAATGGGGGATTTCTCCTGATTTTAACATATCTGTATAGAAATCAGCCAGCCATTTCCCAGCATATTTGCCACAGTGGAGTAAAAATTCTGGATGAATTTTATCGGAGCCGGGTGCCTTTCCAGACTTAATTTCTGATATTGCTGAAATAATTTCTTCTGGAGTAAACTTGTCAGAGTATTCAATGTAGGCGGGCATGCAGACTTTAGTATTTTTAGTTCTTGTTTTACTTTGGTGGTGTGGTCACGATCTCTAGGTGCTCTTGAGGTTGCTACAATGTGAGAGGCTACTCTGTTGGGAGCTATTGGTACTTTGTCTCTAGTTGGGAGGCTACTACTACCAAGTTTTCTAAGTAAAGACCATGCTTTTCTGCTTAATTTACTAAAGTCTAATTTTTCCACAGTTTCCATCCGTTTTTGTCGTCTTGCTGCATCCAAACTGTGCAGTAGTTCGTCCGCAATTTCTCGATTTTGGCTTTCGTTGTATTCTTGATACAATTTCTCACATTTTTCATCCCATCCTGAGACATACTCTTTACGATATCCTCTGGGTATAGTTTTCTTCGCTGTAGAGATAACCGCGCCAATAAATCTCATGTAGTTTTAAAGGGTTGGGGGTATCCATCCCACACATTTGTCCAATCTTTCAGTAAAAGTCGCCCAGTCTGTTTTTTGAAAGTTCCACCTAGGTCGTGGAAAATATGATATCATTGGTATTTTGATGCCAATTTCTATTACAACTGGTCTATGTTGGCTATGTGGAAAATCTGGCAATACTGTATGTGAAGCTGCCAGTGGTTGATTTTTTCTCGCTTCCAGGCTGCAGATCGAAAAGTTCCCCGATCTTTAGCGTCAAAGACTAAATTAGTGTCGACCTCTTCGCTCCAGTTTATTAGAGCCTCGCCATTTTGATCATTGTGTCTATACTTCCAGAGTTCATGATGACTGTTGAAGTTTCCCACACACACTAAGAGGTGTGGGTGGGCGTGAATAACATGCGGAGGCAACAGGACTGCCGGGGGTTTATAAATATTGCTGACAGTAATTTCGCCAATTTGTATAGTAACCGTATGAATGTTATTTATGTCTGATGTAGAACATATGTGTGCATTTTCTATTTTGTTTCGAACATAGGTTGCCACTCCATAAGCTGGATGTTAAGGTGCACCCAATAAATCATAGCCATGAATTCTTCCTCTAGCGAGAATTTGTTCTTCGTTTTCTACATGGGTTCTCTGAATTGCGACCACGTCGATATTATTTTCAATGAGTACCTTTTGAAGGTACTCACATTTACTTCTACTAATAACTTCTATATTTAATTGGCAGATTCGAATGATTGGTCCGAGTCCTTTTGTCGCTTGATCCTGAGAAGTTCCATTTAAATTTATTTTGATATTTAGCTATTTTATACCTTCCTATCATCCTGTGTGCTGATGAAATATTCGTATATATTCTTATACGCTTCTACTATAGTTAAAACAACTGTAACTATTTTGATTCGGTACAATTATACATAATTTTTGTACATTGGACACAGAAATGAGATGGAAATCATTGTTAATGTTGACGGAAAAGAAGTATGAATTCGTATAATCTAAACTAACTTACCAGGACTTCCTGCATCATGAGGAACAGTATTCGGATACTTTCTTTCCACTATATGTCCATTATATAGGACTTTAAGGGGATCATTAATTTCCAAGGAGATGAAATCTCTTAAATCATACTGCAAGCATTTCTGAAGCATAGGCCAATTTTTATATAAAGCGTGCGATGCGTAGAAGTGGACATCATACGAATTGTACATTATATATTCCTGGCCTTCTAAATACGCAAAATGACCATATGCATTCCTAAAACAAAAATAATTTCTATGGATTCAACAGATATCTAATAAAATTTTATTCTGGTTAAAAATTAAATACTGAAACTATTTTGTTAATTATATCCTAATGTTAAGTGAAAAGGCGCATCTGCCAGATGTACTATTTTTCAACTTTACTAATTTTAAATTTGCACCATGTTAGAATAAACCTTTGTAGCAACCTTATCTGTTGTAGGATGTCTTCAAGACGCTACACTGGAAAGAAATAAATGTAAGAAGAAGGCAACAATAAATGAATAGTCAACATGTGCAAGGAACCATGGACTTAACTGTAAAATTTAGATAAATAGAAAAAGTAAAGCTCGAAAAATTATATAGTGAAACCAAAAACATAGGCCTGGGAATGAATTTCAAAATAGCCAATTTTCAAAATTTAGCAAACTGACAAATATCCTTTTATCTGAAAAAACAATGTTTTTAAAATGAAATATATGTACTTACCTTGGATCATTATCATTGCTTGCCAATCGTTTCTTTTCCTCTTCGTTTAGACATAACCACAAACTTCCACCATCACTTACGAAATATGTTTCGTTGAATAGAGCTCCTTTATACCAATCAGGAAGTTTACTAAAAGCAAAAAATAAATTATCCACTTTATGGGGAGAAATTCTGTGTAATTAGTGTGGTCGTTTTAATCAGCTTAATTGATGATTGTAAAAGACTTTTATTAGACGTAAAACATAGAAAAAAGAATGGAATTATAAACGAATCAAAACCATAAAACAACTTTATGACAACCATTTGAAATATGGGTTGAAATTAATGTCATTAAGGTGTATTACTATAAAATATTACTAGAAATTCTCTATTTAAAATATGTCAATAAAATTATATAATAACTGATACCAAATAGATCAAAAATTTTGTCCAAATATAATATTAAACATTGTGAAAGCAGGTGGTCATGTTATGGAAGAGAAAATGCTTAACTTATAACAGATCTCTGGATTGAAGAAGAAATCCCAGAAAAAGAGAAAACTACAGTAATACTCATCACAAGAAAAACGACGCTGTGGATTATTCGGACTATAGAATGATTTCACTGCTAGATGTTGGATATAAAATTTTCGAAAACATATTGAATAAAAGAATGACTTATATGCCTGATGCTACATTAGGAGCATCGAGCAAAAACACAAAAGAGGAAATCTAATCGTTATGAAAAGGAGACCAAAAAAGTGGCCTCTGATGGCGGACATATCCGGAAATGCAAAGGCGCTAAATTTAAATTTTCTGACACTTATTAACAATAGCTATAAAATATTTTTTAGACGAGAAAGTTTTAATTAAATATTAACGATAATAGTCTAAAAAGTGACACAATTGGTTAAAAACTTCAATATAAATAAAATTTCATGTGACAGTTGGGATAAACAATAACATAACCAAACTAAATTTGATTTCTTAAACAAGGAAAGAGACTGTCTTTCCTTGTTTGAAGTGGCCTCTCAAGGTGGCACTTCCTGTCTAACAATATTTTTGTCCCCACTACCTTTACATTCCCTCTTTTGTCTTTTTGCTCGATGATTAGGAGACGATCAACCTAGTTTCAGGTGTAAATAAATACACGACCGACCAGATCTTCTCTGTTTGATAAATTTTCATCTACTGATAAAGTTAGTTTATTCATTTTTGCCAACAAAATCAATAAATCTATCACCGTATTTCCTGTCTTGTCTCTGACGCATATGTCATTATTGGCCTTACACTGTCATTAAAAATTCTTAACTTCATCTCAGTGTTAATATGTCGTTTATATAGTATTATTAAGGCATCCTGTCGGTATTATATTTGTATAAGAATCAGAATTATATCTATATTTTTTAATTTATTAATTTCCATAGAATCTAATATTTAAGGCAATACATAATTCTAAGCTTAAGGCTTTTATTTGAATATGGAGAATTTGAAACTTGTCATTCAAATAATGATTATGATCTATCAGGTAAAGTGCGTACGTAGAATCTGTTTTTCTATTATTGAAAGCCCTTTTGTGTTCTGCTGTACGTTTGTTAAAGGTTCAAACAGTTTGACTAATGTAAGTTTTTGGGCAGTCATCATATATAAGTTTAAGTGCTTGAGGACACACACTGTTTAAGGGCTTTTTTTGACTCTTGTTGTTCTTAATATATTTGATTAAGTTGTTGTTTGCTCTGAAAGCTGGTGTCACTCCTTTCTTTATTACATGTTTAGTATTTTTGTTTATATCTGGGTTTTGTCACTAGTGGTAAGTAGACAAATTTTAGGGCTTTCTTAAGCAGATTTTTTGTTTAAAATTTTGTTTATTGTTTGTTCGCTGTACCCATTGTTTACTGCTATTTGCTTAATGATATTCAATTATATCTCGAACTTATTTTTTAACATGGAAATTTCTGTTAATCTATGTAACATGCTATGGTAGGCTGCCAATTTATGTTGTACAGGATGGGACGATGAATTGTGTACAGTGGTGTCAGTATGGATACGTTTATGAAATACGGAGAACTCATGTTTGTTTTGAACTCAAGTCTGATAATTTTTAAATCTAGAAAATTTATAGATCGATTCTGTTAATTAAAAAAGCAATATCAATTAATAGTGTTAGTAGGAAATAATAAAAGTGATTTATATTCACTATGAGTAATGAGTTCTATAAAGACAAAAACAAATATATGATCAAATAAAAGAAAATAAGATAGAAACAAAAATAGTGGTGTAAAAGTTAGGGAGCTATCACTTTATTTTTAATTGCAAAAATACACTAATAAATTACCTGTTCTCTAAAACTTCTTTCTGCCAATTATATATACTATCTTCCCAAACAGTATAATTATTAAGCGCATGATCAAACAATTTTGAGAATTGCATTTTCTTTTCCAAACTGTTTAGTATAAAACTTGTCGTAAGTTTTTTTATGGTTAGGAAAGCTAATTGTAGGCATGTCCCAAACTAGACTCATATCAACTTCTTTGGTTTGATTAGCAGGTACTCGCATTTTTGCTGCGATTCCACACCCCATCTCGTTGTAAACATTGCCTGAAGCTAAAAGAAAATGATAAATAAAAGTAAAGTTTGTAAAAAAAACGCAGAGTAATAAATCACCATTAGACATTCGATATGTATCTAGGTATATGAAATTTTAAGTAAAACCATGATACTATGATTAAGAAGATAAGATCTTGCGCATAAGTCGTGACGTCATTGGAGAGTCGCACGTTCGAAATGTCAGTTTTTTGTATGTATCAATAAATAATCTTTAATAAATAGTTTTGGAGATATCCTTATGTGTACGATTATTGTAATTATTAAACCTCTTAACTTATTTTCGTCTAGTAATTTCATCACAGAATGCATACAAATCCCATTTAACTTTAACAAGAATTCAAATTCTACTCTCCAATGACGGCTTGCGCGAACACGACCGATTTTGTGCTACGGAAAGATCCTATCTTGTTAGTCATAGTATCATGAGTAAAACGTTCAAGATATACATTAGAGCTACTCTGTTTTTCCAGTATGCAGATTGTTATATCCCGTAACAGATGTGTTGAAAGTGTCTTTTTATGGTTATGTAATAACGTACTTAGGTCGTTCAGAAAGTAACTAGCGTTTTGGCATAAAAAATTTAAAAAAGATATCAACACATTATATTGCCTTTATATAATCAATGCATTTTATTTGATAGCAAGTTCGCAGTGGTAGGAAGGAAGAATCTACTAGAGTATCCTTTTAAATGTATCATTCAGCATTATTGTAAAGCTCTTAGAGGATCTCTTGGTATAGGTATTTATATTTTTCAAAATAAATCACTGCAAGAGATCTGCTTTACGTCAGCTATACTGCGATGTAAAATCGAAAACGACGGAAAATAATAAGGCAGAAGGTAAGAAAACAATAAGGTAGCAACGGCTACCGGTCTTGGCCTCTTATCATAATTTCGTTTTTTACCTAGTCGATAGCAATCAACTAAATTGGTTGGTAAGATAGGTATATTAAGTTTATTGTTGATTACATTTGTAATAACATCTATTAGGTCTTCTTTCTCTTTCTCTTCGACACCATTGATAATAAGGCATTTAAGACGTTTGTCTTGTTTTATAGTTTATTTTTATGAACGAGAGAGTAATTAGCATAATTTTTAACTGGTACCTCCGACCACTCCATGGGCGTGCTCAAGATTAATTGAAAAATTACTTTGAATAATTGTAAAAATGAATGTAAAATGAATTATTTCAGTGTTTATAAAGTGTTATGTGTATGTAAACAAAAGTGACCTCTTTTATCACACACTATATTAGAACTGACTGGCCTACATTAAAAAGGGTTTTAAAAAATTCACATTTTTTTTAATTTTTAAAAATTACAAAAGAGAAAAAGAGTTTTTAAAACCGTCTAAGGTATGTTAAATAGATGAATAAAAAATATTAATATAAAACTTACAGCTACTTGTTACAAATCCAAATCAGATTCAGAAGATGAACTTTCAGAACCAAGATTTATAATAACTGGCTCGATCATTTTATCAGTAATATTGTCCAGCTTCCACATTTTTTTCCTCTTCTTTAATAGTGTGATTTACTGCCTTTTCCCAGTTTTCAGGTTTTACATTATTTACGGCCTCCAAAAACAACTGTTTAACATCATGAATTTTAAAAGTGGTATTTTGTCTTGAAACTTCACTCTTTATCTGTGCCCATACCAGTTCAATCGGGTTTAATTCACAATGATATGGTGGGGATCTAAGTACTGTCATTCCACGATTTTTGGCAATTTCATCAATTTCGTATTTTTTAAAATTTTTCTTTATGAAGGGCACACAACGAATAAAGTTCCTTTCTTATAGATCCGGGATGGTACGTAATATTTTTTGAACTCAGCCAATTCTGCAAGTCTTTTTTTAACCACTTGGTTGTGGGCAGTCCTTCTATAAGTCTGGAGTGATAACTTGCATTATCCATTACTATTACACAGTTCTTAGGAAGAAGATCTATCATTTGTTCGAACCATTCTTGAAAGACATCAGCGTTCATGTCTTCATGGTAGTCACCGGTACGAGTTGATTCAAAAGTTAATAAACCACCTTCAACAAAACCGTCTGAACTGCCAATGTGTACTATTATCAGCCTGCGTCCCTTTCCTGATGGTGGGTTTAAACCAGTAGATAAGTTATTTACAAAAGCGTGCCTTTGACTTGTAACAGTTTCATCCTGCCAAAATTTATTTGGTGTATGACCCTCGTTGATCCATGTTTCATCAAGATAAAATATTTTTCTTTTTTGGTTTCTCATTTCCTTTATGGTTCTTAGAAAATGTCTTCTCCATATGACAATATCGCTTCTTTCTAATAAAATAGACTTTCTGGGATTCTTTTTCCAGCGGAAGCCTATTTCTTTTAAAAGTTTCCATAACGTACTTCGACTCATTTCTGGGTAATCCTTATCATCTCGAACTGAGACAAGAACTTTATCCAATGTTGGAAATTCTTGTCTAAAGAAGAATTCATGCACTTTCCGTCGAAGTCCTTCTTTAAAATGATATTCTATTTGAAATTTTGGTTTCCCTGGAGCATTACGTGGCATTTGAAAACTACCACATTTCTCTTCTTTAATAACTCTGTAAATCGTAGATTTCCCAACACCAAGTGTACTGCTAACTAACTCAACGGTCTCATCAACACTTTCACATAAACGTTTGTCTGTAAATGATTTAAAACAATTAAATATTAATGTTTTTTCATTAACTGTTAAAGGACCAATTTTTCGGCGTTTACACGGCACTTCCAAATTTTCCATAACACTAGTATACACAATAAACTGCACCTTGCAACTGAAGTACCTACTTTTAGTGAACTGTTAAGAATTTTGAATACGCCACTTGGACCTTCCTACAAAATGGAAAAACCCACTATCACATTTTCTGTGGAATAAGTTTAGAAGGTAATTATCTAGTCATTACTGTCGTAGTTCCTGAATTAAAGAATTAAATGTTTGATTGTTGAAACCCTTACTTCGTGGAATGCACTCATTTCAGATAAAATAAAACGTTTTATTTTATCTAAAGAATTAAACTTTATTTTGCAAATAGGTAGGTACTTATTAAACTTTTATTGGTTATATATAACCAATAAAATAAACATCTTACATTTCTTGCAAATTCATTAGTACCTGTTAACCTCCATCACTCCGACACTGGCAACCTTATTTAGGGATTAGTAACCCTCACAACTATTGTATTCTATTCTGCTCCAACCTTTATACCTGGTGGTCATACTCAATTTAAAATTGTTTTCCTATATACTTCTGTAAACTTGTTGACAAATATCTGTTTTTCATTGAGTCACCCGTATCAACAGTTTAGGGATTTGCATACATAATTTATTGTTTTATTACTCTCTCATACATAAAAATACACTATAGATATTCAATGCTATTTTGGTTTTGAATTACAAGTTTTTGGACTTTATTTAATTCTTCTTTGACGGAATTAATTAATTCTAACATATTTTTCTCAAAATTATTTATAGAATCTATTTGGGTACCTGAGATATTACTGGTTACTTGAGATCTTAGATCCTTCATACCTTGTTGTAAAGCTTCTTCAAGTTTCTCAACACGTGCTACAACACTTTTATTGATTATTTCAGGAGTATTTCTTGTTGATGGCATTTTCTTTAAACTTGTAATAACTATACATATAACTACACTAACTAGTACTGAAACTATTAAAATTAATGCGATTTGCCTTAAATAATTTAGGTTTTCTCAGAGCTAGATTTAAACACACACTCTTACTAGTTTAGCGTTATCTATCTCCCTCTTAGCGCTTAGTTACCAATTACATAATAGTATACTTTATGCCCGTGCGGGCATAAAGTGCACTTTATGGCCCGCACAGATATAAAGACAAAAAAAATATTGATAACTGCTTAATAACATTTATTATTGAAGTTACAAAATATGGAATAAAATTATTCTAACTATTCTAAAATTCACATAAGATTGGCAATTCTGGGAAGAGAGGTGATACATAAATCTGACATTTTCACGTTTTAGGTTTGACAGCCGCAGATGTTCATTCATTATATGTTTCACCCTAACGAGGGTCTTGCTCATTCTACTATGATAAATTTTATGAATTTTTAAAAATATTTAGATTATTAGTATGATAGCAAACTAGTATGAAATAAAAGTTTGTATGCACCGTGGGCATTAATAGATGTGTATACCCTCAGGCGATTTACAAACACTCGGGCCAGAGACCCTCGTATAGACAGTCGCTCTCGAGCATAAACATTTACATAATGCCCTTGATACATAAATGGCTATTTTATTCTTGACCGATGTGTGAAATTGAAAATTTTATTAGTCTCCGCGATTCCAGAATTGACAAACTTTAAGAAATGAAAGGTTTAGTTTGTTCCTCGAACACGTTTTAATTAGTACCAGACACTTTAGATTCTTTTACCTTCTTTAACTCTCGTCTGAATGCAGTTCGTAAAGAATTAATTTTTTTTTCCGCCATATCTTTGTCGGCTTCCGGTTCAATTTCTTTTAATTTATCATGCATCATCTTTTCATAAGCATTGTTTCTTAGGTGGGTAGTGCTGTATTCTTTACTTTTAATTCTCCAGAAACACAGAAAAACTCAATGAATTCTGTTATAAATTGTTTGGAATATTTTCTCATATTACTCATTTTGCTCTTCAGTAAAGAAACAAATAACAAACCGTGAATTTTGTCGTAGCACTACACGCGCAGACTAGTTTGTGAGAACTGTCGTTCCAACAAAAAATCAAAGCCTGCAGATTTAACTTCTGGGTTTGAGTGTTTAGTGTGCACAAACAAATTGTTGAGCTACACGGATATTCAGGTATGCACTGACACGTTTGCACATACAATATTCTCGAGATATTACGTCTAACGGTGACTCAAACAAATCGATCCTAATATGTTGGTACAAACAAGCTCAAATTATTTCTGTCTTCTCGATGAAATTATTTGAGATTCGAACTAATTTGGTCCACTAAATTGATCAAGGAGAAGGTATTCTTCCTGATAAGTGTTATCCTGTTATGAATGAAAATCTTTGTAGCATAATTGTTTTTTTTATACTTATCATGCACATTCTTCGTCAAGGTCATTCAAGGTTCATCCAATCTTTTTAAGGATTGTCTGTGTGGCGAAGTCAATATTAGTTTATAGTGATTTCCACATTCCATTCGCTTGGTTTTCTGACACAGCACTGGTTTATTTTCTTAGCATTATCTTGCAAGTACACTTTTGATAATTGTGCTAACACTCGGTTCTACACTAAAATTCACTCTACTAAACATAAATACTTACTTACCATAAGTGGACTTCTTTGGTTTATCGAACTCTCCGTTTTCAGCCAGGGGAAACCATAAATCATCAAATCCGTCGGATTTAGGATCAAAATATAAACATTTCGATATAGATACATCCTTGGTGGTTTTCGCTGCGAGGGCATAGGCACAAGGCATTTTATCTATCATATGGTAAAGGATCACACCCTCTGTATTCTCATATGAAAATATTTTGGAACTACAAGCAGCTAAAAAATAGGAATTTGCAATGCAAAAAATGTATGTTTATATGATTTATATATGATTTATCTATATAAATATAAAACTATAAAAAATAAACCATAAACACAGACATTTATTACCCAAATTGGAACCTAACAGGGTTACTGTATAGTATAACGCATCTTATCAATAATGTAGAGATTATTCAATAATTTTTAATGGATTAATGGAACTACTTATATCTTGAAGAATATTAAACTAAGGAACCACAACTTAAATGATAAATGTGTTAAATGAGAAATTTTGTTTACTGTTACCTCCTTACTGCTGATCTCCTGTGGTTCCAGTATCTCAACAACAATTCAATTCCAGTCAAATATTTCTGTACTTATATCCCATGCCAGCAAGATAATGCTACATATAATCAATGAGAGACTGAAAACATTCCTTCAAGAGAAATTCCACAAGAGCAAACTGGATTTACCAAAGTAGAAGCACTCGACAACACCTGCTGAATATAAGACAGATAATCGAGAAATCTAGGAATTCAACATCCCACTATACATCTGTTTTATAGATTACCGTAAAGCGTTCGACAGGGTCAAGTGGAGACACTTATGGCGAATACTTAAAGAAGTAGGCGTACCACAACATCTAATTACGCTTATAACTGAACTATATGAACACACTACTGGATCAGTTAAAGTACTTGACACACTTTCGAACGAGTTTCATCCAGAACGGGGTGTCAGACAAGGATGTATACTATCTCCACAATTATTCAACATATATGGGGAGTATATTATGCGACGAGCACTTGAAGGATGGGAAAAGGGCATCTCAATAAATGGTCATAAACTAAACAACCTTCGTTTCGCAGATGACACAGCCCTTCTTGCAAATAGTCAAGCAGAGCTATGGAACTTATACGACTGATCGAAAACGAAAGTCAAATATTTGGTATGCAATTAAACATATCAAAAACAAAGATCATGATAGTGGATAGACTACACAACAATCATCCACACATAACCACAATTGATCGGTTCGAGGTTGTGAGCTCATACTTATATCTGTTTACTACAAGAAGAGATTAAACGTAGATGTGATCTAGCAAAAGTTGCCACAGCAAAAATGACCAAAATATGGAAGGACTGTCAAATTTCAAGAGCGATAAAGATAAGGTTGATCAACTGCTTAATATTCCCAATACTGACCTACGGATGTGAATCTTGGACTCTGAGACAATCGGAGAGAAGAAAGATAGACGCCACTGAAATGTTCTGTTGGAGACGAATGTTACGAATTCCTTGGACCGACCGTAGAACAAATAATTCAATTTTAAGAGAGCTAAAAGTTAGCCAACGACTCTCTAGTAAAGTCCATCTCCAACAATTAAAATATTTTGGGCATGTTATGAGAGCAAACACAGAAAACATGGAAAGACTCATAATACAAGGAAAGGTAGAAGGCCGAAGATCCCCAACAAGATGGATAGATCAAATTACAGGAATATGCCAAAGACCTAGGCATGAATTAAAAGAAATGACCAGAGACAGAGATCTCTGGAGACGGACAATACACGACATCACGTCGACTACTACACTCCCCCTGGGGGTCAGGATTGAAGAGAGAGAGATTTCTGTACTACTATGGAGAAGTGCCATGGCACATATAAATTACTTTGGGGATAAATACTCATTTTGGCCCATATGATCCAACTAATTAATCGTACGTGTGAATTACAGTCATACGGGTAATCAAAGTGACTTCATTGAAAATACTGCTTCAGTATCCTGTCCGATTATCGAACGTTGGCAATAATAACTTTATTTACGGCAACTTGAAATAGGTTAGCGGATGTCTCTTCATCTTCATACCACTCTCGGAGATTTCCGAGCCAGAATGTTCTTCTTCGGCCTGGGCCTCTTCTTCCGATGATCTTGCCCTGTATTGTGATGTGTAGAAGGTTATTGTTTTTGTTATTTTTGTGCTCTTTTTCATGCGGTATAAAACTATTTCATTTCTTATTCGATCAACCCATCTCATTAGCAATATTCGTCAGTAAATCCATATCTTAAAGGCCTCCAATTTTTTCATTAGCGTTTTTCATACAGCAATCTGGAGAATATGTAGCAGCGTATTAATCTTATTTTAAGGCTCAATGGAATATCTCTATTATGAGAATTTTCTTTAGTTTACAGAAGGCTGCTCTGACCTTTTCGACGCGTATTTTTATTTATTTGCTTATATCCCAGTTATAGTTAACTTTGGCGCCCAAATAGGAGATATTGTGGATACTTTGTAAATTTATTCCATACGCTCTGATGTTCATGGGTTGTAACTCTGTTTTGCTGACATTGCTTGACATATTTTATTACTTGTATCTTAACGTTAATTTTATGTAATATTTATTATTTCTCATTTTATGTTTTTATCTTAAAAAAAAAGAGATAAAATAAATAAATTCGTTCCAGTTTACCAATGGGACATTTAATACATAATTAAGTAAACTTTATATAATCCTAATATTCTCTTTAAAAAGTACTTTTACCTACTATGATATGCTAGAAAACCACCTTAATTCACTCTATAGTCAGTTTCAAAATAATCTATGTACTTCAGAAAATCTACTCTATATTATGTACTTAGTACTTCCAAATAGTGCTATTTGCCTTATTTTTACTTATTTTATATAAAAGCACAAAAATAACACTTACATTTTTTATCATCTTTACTGCCTGTTCCATTTTTGAAAGTGAAAGCAATTGTCACAGTTCTATCACTATCGCAAACATTTTCCACTGTCCATACAAATACAGCACAAGGTAAGGCACTATCCTAAAATAAAAGTGTTAAAATATTGTTCAATTTTGTCAATTACAAATAAGTTGGAACACAGAGCCCTGCAGTGGTACGGGCATATACAAAGAATGCCAGATAACAGGTAGCCCAAAAGAATATTGAACTGTGAAAAAGATGGAGAGGAAGATCTGCTACAAGATGGAAAGCATACATAGGAAATACTATGATATACAGCCCTCCCTCACTAGTCCGACACTTTGAAATCCGACGTACTCGGTAATCCGACGCGCCGCTACGGGAGACAAGTTCCGTGTTCAGTGTTCAGTTGACTTTCGTAGCGGACGTGCACGTGCATTTCATTTTCCCTGCGCAGTTAGTTCAAGTGTTCGCGTACAAATGGCAAAATGGCAAGCACGAGTGGTGTTAAACGGAAACACAAAACATTAACAATATCCGAGAAGTGGGAAATTATTAAACGTATAGATAGCGGTGAAACGCCGACTGCAGTAGCGAAATTTTATGAAATTGGACGGCCTACGATTTATGATATTATGAAGAATAAAGGAAAAATTGAAGGGTTCATGAAGTCTGTTGAAGACAACCCTTTAAACAGAAAAACCCTCAGAACAAGCGAGTTTCCTGAGGTGGAAGAAGCACTGTTTATTTGGTTTAAACAACAACGCACACGGAATATCCCTATATCCGGAGACATACTTAAACAAAAGGCTCAATGTTTCTACACAGAAATAACGAGGAAAAATGACTTTCGTGCTAGTCATGGATGGTTCGAGAACTTTAAAAAACGCCATGGCATTCGATTTATGAAGATGTGTGGTGAAAAGGTGTCTGCTGACAGGTCTGAGATTGATGCCTTCATTGAAATGTTAGACAACAAAATTACTGAGCTTGGTTTAGTTCCTGAGCAACTGTACAACGCAGATGAAACCGGGTTGAATTGGCGACAGCTCCCGGCAGAAACATTTGTAAGTGGCGAGGAAAAAAAAGTTTCAGGAAGGAAATTGCAAAAAGAACGACTCACGCTTATGGTGTGTGCGAATGCATCAGGCACTCATGCATTAAAACTGCTTGTTGTAGGAAAATCAAAAAACCCTCGAGCATTCAAAAATGTAAAGGTTGAATCTCTGCCAGTAACTTACAAGTCACAAAGTCGCGCATGGGTGACAAAAGAAATTTTTCGTGACTGGTACACCAACAGCTTCGTTCCACAAGTTAAGGCTGAACTAAAGAAGAACAAGTTACCTATGAAAGCCCTACTTTTACTGGATAATGCACCAGGACATCCTGATGCTGATGAATTGAAAATCAAAACTGCTGATGGCTACATTGAAGTTATGTACCTACCGAAAAATACGACAGCTTTAATTCAGCCCATGGATCAAAACGTGATAAAAACCCTCAAAGCTCACTATAAGAAACGCATTCTTATGGATGTTGTCAGTCAACCTGATGCTGATATTCCAGCGATTTTGAAAGCTTTTAACATTAAAGACGCCATTTTGAATGCTGCGTATGCTTGGCAGCAAGTAAAAAGCATAACACTGATAAAATCGTGGAGAAATGTATGGCCTAACAACCCATGTCTTACAACGTATAATCCTACATCCAACAGCGATTCAGAACCCGTTTTAGAGGCTACATTGGAACTTTGTAATGAAGTGCAACTTGCCCCCGCATCGGTTGAAGAGCTTAGAACATGGATCATAGAAGATAACCTTGATGCTGACATGACAGACGCAGATATAATTCAAGAAGTGACAGCAGTTGATGACAACGTGATCGAGGACGCAGCGCCAGAAAAAACCTTCACCGTCAGCTGTGATGAAGCTGTATCGGCAGCTAACACTTTGTTACGTTGGTGCCAAGAGAGAGATGTGGACATGAACAAGATTTTAGTGTTAAAAGGTTTGCAAGAGGCAGCAATGGTGGACTGTTTTCAAAAAAAGAAACAGAAGGCAATCACGGACTTTTTCAACAAGTAAATACATATTGTGCTCTTTTTTGTATGTAGTTTTAAGTCTATGTACATAAATTAAAATGTTGTTCACTTTATTCTGTGTTTTTAATATGTCCCTTGAATTTAACGATGAATAATACGTTGTTTAAAATGACGGTTATATCTTTGTGGCAATCATATTCATTACAGAATAGCCATTTTCCATAATCCGACATTTTTGGTAATCCGACATTACGTCGGTCCCGAACCTGTCGGACTATCGAGGGCGAGCTGTATAGAGACTTCAAAGAAGATGACTGCGAAAATAGAGCGCTGTGGAGGACGAAAAGAGTGAACTCATAATGGGATAATCCGAAGAGGAAGAAGAAGAAGAAATATTGTTCACCAATACAATGGGTGGCAAAATAGTGGTCCTTGTATTGTGGACAACCATATGGTATACCACTCAGGAAATGATGACGTTCAACATATGCATGGGGTTTGAGTAATCGTATCTCCTCAATTACCTCAATATATTACAAAAGTTATATCTCTTTCTGAAACATTAATAATAATCCAACTGAATACTACTTTGGTCAAATTAAATATTTTAAAAGTGTATGCCCCAACCAGCGATAAACCAGAAGAAGAGGTAGAGTAATTCTATGAGTTGTTGATAAATTCACTTAAACAAATTAAAAAAAAAGATATAACTATTATTATGGGTGACTTTAATACGAAGATTGGTAAAGGGAAAAGAGGTGAACTAATAACAAAAAATGTGACATGAAAAGATAAAAGATTCTTTCAGAGAAGCTAAATAACATGAAGCAGATAATGTAGAAGAATTACTCCAGAATATATGTGGAAAAGGAAAAGTTATATGAATGACAATATACTGCAATTCATGGAAGAAAGAAGAAAATCAAAGAACAACAATAGAATGTACAAAAATATTCAGAGACAAATAAAAACCGAAATACGAAAGGCCAAAAAAATTGATTAAAAACACAGTGGGAAAAGAGAGTTTTTTGAACAAAAACACGATAAATTTAATATGCATAAAAAGGTAAAACAAGCAGCTGGTCTTCAAAAATCCAACACAGCTAGCAAACTGCAAGATCAACAGAGGAACATCATCACAGATAAAATCAAGAAATATGCATATGGACCAAATACATACAAAAACTCTTTGATGATAATAGGTCCGAACAACCTTCGTCATACATTTGTATTGACCACTTACCAATCACATCAGGTGAATTGGAAAAAGCAATATCACAACTAAAAGATGGCAAAGCTCCTGGATCTGACAATGCATATGCTGAACTCATAAAGCTATTTAACACCGGTGGTACGAAACGACTAACAAAAATATTGAATGACATATTTCCAGACCATCAGCTTAATGCACCATATTTTAAAGTTATTTCTAAAAATCATACATAAAATGATATATAGATTATGCGAAAAAAAGATCAGCCGTACACAGTTTGGTTTTCGGAACGCAGTGCTAGAACACAACACTAAAAAAACCACAACGATTCAAATATCTTGGATGTTGGATCATCCAAAATGCAGATCCGCCCTTCGAAATCAGATGTCTAACTGAACAGGAAACAAGCATGTTTCACAAATTCAAGCCCGTATAACCCCATATATCCTAACTTAAGAAATAAATACGTGCAAATTACATGTAACGTGTTTTTGGTCCAACAACTCTATCTCTTACCCCTGTGTTTTTAACCAATTTTTTTTGGAATTTCGTATTTCGGTTCTTATTTGTCTCTGAATATTTTTGTTCAGAGATTTTGCTGAGATACTCAGCTTTATTTCTGATCAGGCTTTTCTTTTGGGAGAGAACTGATCTTTGTTTGAATTTTCTAGCTACTACCGTGGGAGCAAGAAAACAGCCAACCGCAATACCTTGGGCAACATTCAGCAACCAGATACCAAGCCACTGATGCATCAGCACGGAATATGAAATCCCTTTAGTAACATGGGAAAAAAATTGCCATTATGGAGACCAGCAAAGACGGGACAACTCATTCCAAACAAAATAAAGCTGAGTACTTTTTTTTATATTCTAGTTATTCCATACCGGCTTAATCTTTGTGTCACAGTTTGTTTATCTTTGTTTCATATTCATTATAAAAATGTTGTTTGTTTTATTTTATAAATTAATATATACCTTTTGTTAAGCCTTAACAAGTATTTTTCTTTCCTTTACCTTTCTGGGATTGGTGTAGAGGGAGAATGAACAGGGAACGAACCCGGGGCTGAGCAGTCGGGCAGAGCACCATTCTGGTGGATGGAACGGTGGGCATTTTTCTCTTGAATATCCTTAGGGATATTCGAAGAATTTCTCCCATCGTTTCTTCCCGCGGTATGGTGTTGCTTAACGCCCTGGTCTTTATAAGATTAGACGTTACAGTTTCACATATATTCTGGAGTGATTCTTGTGGATTATCTGTTTGCTTCATGTCTCTTTTCTTTCCTTACCTTTTAGTCTTTCTATTATTTTTATTGTAACCTTTTTAAATCTAAACCTAAATTTACCAATAACAGGAACATAATCTAACGATATGTCAGCACTGGGGTAACCTTTAACTGATAGGATCGATTAAGTTCTCTTTACCATTAAGTTCACCATTATGTAATAAATTTGATTCCTTATTATGTTTACTGGTTGATCTTGTGGAGAGACCCATGTATATATGGTTGAATTTTGTCCTCTGGTGCTCTCGAAGGTATATTTATGTTGTTTATGGGGATAAAAAGTATTATCAATTCACAGCCCATTATGTGCCAGTATTGGATGAGTTGTGCCAAACTATTATTTACAGCTTCTTGATTAAATCTATTTTTGATACTTTTAAATACCTACCACAATGTCAGAGAGTTATTCAATATTATTACTGAGGTTTTATGAAACCAACGAGAAAACATTCCCAAAAGGAAAGTCTAGAGCCAGCGAGGTCACCAGATTTCAATCCTTTGGATTATTTTATGTGGTGCCATCTGAAGAATGTTGTGTATCAAACGAAACCAGCAAATATTCAAGAATTACAACAGAAAATTCGAACAGCAATAAACAATATTTCTCAAGACACAATAAACAAGGTTCAACAAGAATTTGTATAACGTTTAGGTTACTGTTAAATACAGAAAGGGCTGCAGTTCGAACATTTATAAAGTCATGTATTTCATCATATTCTGTCCGCTAGACAATAAGTATTTTTGATAATATTGTGAATTTAACTAGCGCGTTACTTTATGAACACACACAAAACTATTGTATTTTTGTCCACCCTGTACCAATTTGAATCAACATGTGATACATTTGTTTAATCAGCTCAGCTAGTGTAATCTGAAAATAGAGACAAAATGGGGGTGTTCCATTTAAAAAAAATGACGGTGACGTCATTACTCGAAAGTAATTCACCCTGTATATTAGAATATTATTTTAAAATACGGTAAATTAAAATCAAAAATCGACCTGTTTCAGGATTATTTCTCAAAATGTTCTGTTTAGCTAAAAAAGAATTTGTTCCATACTTTACGGACCATGGACGTATAGTTACGGACACAGTGTATACACGCATAAATACACAGAAGCACACTATTTTATGGACAAATACACTTATAGAAAGTCGTACTTATACAAATACGAGCGCAAAGTCGCAAAACACGCTCACGTACGTGAGTCGTAAATCGCGCTTACGTTTATTTTCACGATTAACTTCACACCTTTTTAATTAAGTCTAGTATTTTATGCTCACTTACCTTATAGTTATGTGGAATAACAGGACTAATCTGTCTACATATAAGTTTAACACCACCATATTCAGTGAGGTCATATTCTGTCCACGATCTGGGGTATAAGCCAGTATATTTAATTTTATATTCGGGAATTTTACTAATACAAGAGGATAAACTCCTTTTCCTGTAAAAAATATTCGTTTAGGAGATATATTTTTTAAAATTTTAGTAGTAAGGAAAATAAAAACACCATATTAATAATTATAAGCCTTCTATTTTGTGCTAACAATTTTTCAAAACAAGGAAAATTTTTTATTTTCCTAATAATAGAAGAGGAAAAATAAATAAAAAGTAAAATAACTAAATAGTCAGAAGGACAACACCTAGGAGAGAAAATAGAAAAGGGTGGAAACAGACAAAAAAGTCGACAATAAAATACAACAAACTCCAAACCTCTATCAAATTTATAGGTAAGGCCAAAAAGGAAAGGAAAAGTAAATATGTTCAAGTAAATATATACACCTGCTTTAATTTTCTTTACGCATCATGGGTACTTACAGAATGAATAAAAGGAAAATTCTGGATGTCGAAATAAAGTACCTTAGATGGATAAGAGGGTTAACTAAAAGAAACCAAATAAGGAACCGACTATGGAATATATCGAAATAAAAACAAGGAAGTGGAAGATCGAAAATATAAGACAAGTGGAGGAAATGTGGCAAGAGGAAAAATGGAAAGATCACAACAAACACGAGATAGCACTTAGATTATTACATAAATGAAAAAAAAAACAGGATGTGGCACTTTCGAAATGACCGAGGAGGAAAGCATAGCTTACTTATCGTCTAAGCACGGAGTTATATTATTTTAATTCCAGAGATTCTGTCCGTAGTCTGGACGGAGCGGAAAGAACAGAAAGCTATGCTTCTAAAAATATGGACAAAGGTAAGAACAAAATCAAGAAATAAAAGAAGGTAAAATTTTTTTATAGTAATATCACTAATAGTAATTTAATGCAGTATTGTTTAGTACGACTATTGTAAATGGCTGAAAATGTAGGTTTTCTTTTGCTAAGTCCATAAAAATTGACAGTGTGATTCGATATAAACACTGACATTTGATTTTGACACTAATATGTTTGAAATTTCGTAAATAATGTTATATATTGAGGAAACAGGTAACCCCCTCTGTGGCTCAGTGGTAAGAGCGCCTACCTTTAAGTCTAAAGGTCGTGAGTTCGAATCCTACCTGGGTGGAAATTTTCGTTTATTAAAAAAAATTAATAAATAAAAATAATTTCTATCCTTGTGTGATCGGTACTCACCGGAGAGACCGCAGACGTTCGGGTACAATTAGCGTCTCTTAGCAAAGACAATGACGTCGACTTGCTAAGTATCAAGACAATTACTCTACACACACAAACACAGACACACACACTACATTAATAAACTTATCTTGATTGAGACTGGCTGAATAACAATTGTCCAAGCCAAAACACACAAAAAAAAAAGAGGAAAAAAGTTTTTTTGTTGAGCACTATATTGGCTTATACGGTTCAAGTAGAAAAAAATTGACCAAACATTCAATTTTATCGTCTTGAACACTGTTTCTGTCCACGAACAATTTTCGGAGCATTTCAATAAACAGGCACAAAATAATGTTGTATTTAAAATTATAACTAAATTTAGAAGAGCTGAAATGTTTTTTTCTGGGGAAAGAAAAAGGGAAAGCTGGGCGAAGAAAAATAGTGGATACCAACTAAAATCGCTAACATGTATTAAATCAAATTTTGAACACACTTTATCATAGCCAACGGAGATCTTCTGGAATATTGAATTTCAACAGGACTTTCCACAAGATAAGAAAACAGCTTTTTTATACCCAAACATTTATAACCACATATACGAAACTGGAACACTGTCACAAATATGGTTGTCTACATTTATCCCACTTCAAAAAAAAACCTAATACATCATCATGTCAAGACTTTAGACTAATTAGCCTCATGAGTCACTCTCTCAAGCTACTTCTTAGGATAATTCTTAATAGAATCAAGCAGAAATGTGAAGACATAATGGGAAATAAACAATTCGGTTTCAGAGAGGGATTGGGAACAAGGGAAGCTTTGTTCTCAATGCTACCACTACTTCAACGATCATGGGAAGTACAGAAACCAATTTACGTTTGTTTTATAGATTTTGAGAAGGCGTTTGATAGGGTTCAACATGGTAGGCTGTTTGAATATCTAGAAATAATTGGAATAGATGATAAAGATCTGAGACTTTTACAACATCTATATTGGAATCAAGAAGCTTCTATTCTGGTAGACGCAAAGAAAAGGACAAAATTTGTATTCAAAGAGGTGTTAGACAGGGTTGTGTGTTGTCCCTAACTTTGTTTAACGTTTACTCAGAAACAATTTTTAACAAAGCATTGGAAGGGCAATGTGGAGTTCGAATCGGGGGAGAAACTATCAATAACATCAGATATGCAGATGACACCGCAATCATGGCTGAAAGTATCGAAGATCTTCAATTTCTTATAGATCGAGTCACTAGAGAATGCTCTAATAACGGACTAAGCATAATTACAACAAAGAAAAAGTTACTTGTGGTTAGTAAACAAGACCTCGGCGCTATACAACTAATTGTCAATAATGAACCAATAACAAAAGTTAACCATTTTAAATATCTAGGATGTTAGATAAATGAGACACTAAATCCAGATGAAGAAATTAAAACTCGTATAGAAATTGCAAGAGGAGCATTTATGAAACTTAGATCTATTCTGAGCAATTCTCAGCTGAACTTACAGCTGAGAATTAAGTTCCTAAAATGTTATGTGTATCCTGTATTACTGTATGGATGTGAAACCTGGATTATGAAGGTTAACATGATGAACAAATTAGAAGCCTTCGAGATGTGGTTATATCGTAGAATGCTCAGCATATCATGGGTTCAACACATTTCAAACAGAGAAGTCTTGAACAGAGTAGGTCAAGGTGAAGGTGACTTAATAAAGATGATAAAAAAGAGAAAACTCGAATATCTGGGCATATAATGAGAGGAAGCAGATACAGGATAATGCAGTTGATACTCAATGGAAAGATCGACGGAAGAAGTGGAATTGGCAGAAAGAAATACTCATGGCTCCGAAACCTTCGTCAATGGTCTGGCTTATCAGCAGATGAACTATTATATGCCGCGCAAGATCGAGAACGATATCGGCAAATCGTCATGGAGGCTACCCACGCCTAAAACTTGGGCACGGTACTCAAAGAAGAAGTGTATGAAACCTTCGCTATCAAAACGCCACTTCAATACAAAACATTCAGTGTTATAAAATAAACCTAACGATTACTTCGTTCGGAAGTTAACGGAGATGAGAGGCACAATAAAATTAATGTCGAATTTCACCGACAGCAACCAAAAAGCAGTAGAAGTATCCTTCCTCGCGAGTTTAAGAATTGCTAAGTGTGGAAAAGCACATACCATCGGTGAAGAACTAGTTCTGCCTGCCGCACAAGATATGGTAACGTGTATTTTTTGGAGAATTCCGGTAAACAGCTTAGTATTATACCATTATCCAATGATACCGTACGTCGTAGCATTGAAATAATGGCATTAAATGTTAAAGAAAAATTGGTAAACCGAATAAACAATAGTACTTTTTTGCTATACAACTTGATGAGAGCACAGATATAACAAACTATACTCAGCTTATGGGTTATCTGCGATAGGTATATATTTCAAACCAAAATCGAAGAAAAGTACTTATTTTGTGAGGCGTTAACAGAACGAACTACTGCCGATGAAATATTCAAGAAAATCAAAGATTTTTTGTGGAAAATGGACTAGGCTGGAAACAATGCGTTGGTTTCTGTTCGGATGGTGTCCGAAACATGATATGAAAATACGTAGGTGTAACTGCCAAAGTAAAACTCGTTGCAGAAAATTGTACCTTTTCCATTGTACACTCACCGGCAAAATTAACGGAACACCTTAAAAATGGGACATGTTAGATGACTCGAATTTCCTAAACCTGTTGTCCGATTTTAGTGATTTTTTTAGTATGTTATAGGTATATTATTTAAGAATATCAATGAAATAATATTGTTGCTAGACAGGTCAACGTCATTTTATACCGGTGTAACAATCATACTGTGTTTTTTCCTTAAAGTTCGAAACACCCTGTGGAATATTCTAGCATATATAAAATATTGAAATTAAAGCTCAATTATAGTCTCAGGCTTTCTTAACATTTTCTTTTTGATTCATTTGCTTGTGTTGGATAATAAAAAAGCTCTATCGGGTTTAGGTCTGGGGAACAAGCTGGCCAATTCATCGTTGTTATACCCACTTGTAATAAGAAATATCTTACACTTACACTCTTACACTATAAAATAAAATTTTCGCCAATATATGGTGAAAAAGGTACCACATGGTCTTGGAGAATATCTCTGATATACTTATCTGCTGTTAATGCTCCACCACCAATCACCACTAACTCTGTTATTGCTCCCAAACATATACCGCCCCACACCATAATTGAACCTCCACCAAAAGGTACGGTCGTAGTAAAATTGAAAGGGGCATTTCGTTCTCCTTGGCGTTAATACAATCTTTCTCTACCGTCGATGTAATTTACACAGAATCGGCTCTCGTCCGTAAAGAGAATTTGACTCCAGTGGTTATCATTCCAATTTTGATGTACTCGACCAAATTGTAGTCGTGCTAAACGATGGTGTCTCTGGAGTCTGGGAGCTTTTATTGGCACATATGACTGGAGACCGGCTTCTTTAAGTCTCTTTCTTATTGTGCGCTCAATTAAATACAAGTTTGTACTTGTTATGAACAGACAGAATGACTGTAAAATGTAAAACACAATACAAATAAACAAATTAATTTGACATTTTGACATTTAAGACTTTCTTGTGATAAGGAGCTTTCAAAGCTATGTAGATATAGTCTATAAAATACAAATATAAAGAAATATTGCAATAATAGCAGGTTCCTTTAAATTTGCCGGTGTGTGCATTAAATTGTTAACTTCTCATAGCCTACTTTAGGCTTGTTTTTAAACTAAGCAGAAAATGAGGATTTATTGATGAAAAACATGGCTAATTGTTAACGTACCTAACTTTTTTATTATCAAACATAAGCAAATGAATCAAAAAAGAAAATGTTAAGAAAGCCTGAGGCTATAATTAAGTTTTAATTTCAATATTTTATATATGCTAGAATATTCCACAGGGTGTTCCGAACTTTAAGGAAAAAACACAGTAGGATTGTTACACCCGGTATAAAATGACATTGACCTGTCTAGCAACAATATTATTACATCGATATTCTTAAATAATATACCTATAACATACTAAAAAAATCACTAAAATCGGACAACAGGTTTAGGAAATTCGAGACATCTAACATGTCCCAATTTTAAGGTATTCCGTTAATTTTGCCGGTGAGTGTAGTATCCACAGAGAAGCTTTAATAGCAAAGCGAATGACAGATGAATTTAAACTATGCTCTATGCTCTGAAATGGGAAGTGATCATATTCAGTTATTGCTACACACAGAGGTAAGATGGTTATCAAAAGGAAAAATGTTGAACAGGTTATTCTAGTTGCGTTCTGAAGTACATGTGTTTTTAATGGAAACCAATTTTGAATTTCGTGATCGGTTACTAGATAAATTGTAGCTCACAACATTAACTTACCTAACAGAGAGATGTAATCGATTAAATGACCTAAACTTAAGCTTACAAGGTAAATCACATAATTGATTTTCTGTAAAAGACAAAATAAATGTGTTTATCAAGAAATGTTATATGATGAAAAATAGTGTTTCAAACAAAGACTAGTCGTTTACCAATTTAGAAAATTTTGTGGTTGAGCATGAAATAAAGATTAAAGATGATCTTATTTTTAACATAAAACAGCATTGTCAGATGCTAATTGATAGTTTTAAAGAATATGTTGACGAAAACTATGCTCAGTTTCTTTGGATACGACAACCATTTATTTTGGATAGCATTCCTGAAACATTAAAGCAGGATGAAAAAGAGTCTTTAATAGAAAACTATCTTGTGATGGGGGTTTGAAAATAGAGTTTTCAAAATTAGAATTAACCAAATTCTGGCCAAATATTAAAAATGAATATCAAGCCTTATCAAAAAAAAGCATTGATATTTTTACTTCCTTTTACGACCACCTACCTGTGTGAAACTGGATTTTCTACTATGCTACAAGTGAAAAATAAATTTCGCAGTAGGCTTAATCTTAATCCAAATTTACGAATGATCTAAGCACAATTGATCCTGATATCGATTCTCTTGTTGTAGTTATGCAGAACCAACCTTCTCACTAAATTTTTGGACTGGGTTAGAGTTTTATTTTGTAACATTTATAATGCCCCTGAGCCACGATAGTCTGTTCCTTCCTAGGCATCTCTTTTCCTCGATTTTTCCTTTCACTATAAGTTGGGCATAAGTTGGCTCAGAAACTTCCGACAATGGACAGGGCTAAATTTTGAACAGCTAATAAGAACAGCTGAAGATAGAGAAGAGTTTAAAATTGTAGTAGCCAACCTCCATTGAGGAGAGGGCACTTTAAGAAGATAATGCCCCTTTTTAAAGAAATACATTTTTGCCAACACTAGTAAATTTTATTATCTACTTTTTTAATATGCGGTACGCGATTGACGCAGAATGTGTATAAGTGGTACGTGTTAAAAAAAATTGAGAATCGCTGATCTAAACCATTCAGAATTTTTTAACAAATTATAATACATATTTTTACCTATATGTAGAGAGCCAACTCTCAAATAGTGTAAAACCTTTTTCATCTTTAATGACTACAAGAAAGTCATCGGCGTCAACTGTGTTCCATTCATAAATTCCTGGTTTCAGCTGAAATCTACAAAACTGTCCTTTGTAACCCCGTCCTATGGTGCCACAACCAATACCACCAATTGGAACTCCTGAAAATTTAAATTCACATATAATAATATATCCAATTCGTAAATATTGTTATAATACTCATTTTTGAAAAGTCATTTGTACTGGTTCAGTCCTGAGACAGGAATAATTTCTCTATCCTTTGGCAACAGGTTGACGATAGAAAACTGGAGAAAGTATTAGCAGTTTTGATTAGAAGCTGTGTACAAAAACACAATAGATGGTCAGTGTCATGTATTCATATGTATCTATAGATACCCCATCGCGACAAACATTACAGTCAGCAATGCACAAGCTAGCTATAAAATTACTTAGCCATAACATGAGAATATGGTGATTTAAAGATGCAGTTACTACTACAAAAATTTGAAGTTTAGATAGGGTAATGATTGCCAAAATTAATAATTTTAACAGGCATATGTATTACAGTGCCATGAAGAAATAGACATTGATGCTTGTAGTAGATTTAAAGATGAAATTCAAAGAGGAGGGTAGTGTGTTGTGTGACTGAGAGATTCTAATGAAATTTAAAGGTAAAAAACTGCCATAAAACCAGTTATGATGTGCGATACTGAATGTAAGGCAGCTACAAAGCAAACAATTATGAATGGACTGGCAAAAAACATAAAATGATGAATGTGTGGGTATTAGGGAATGTGTTGGTGTCGCTCCAATTTACGTCAAAATGAAAGATCATAGGTTAAGATGGTTGTGGCACATTCAACGTAGAAAAATTCACTAATATGAAGAATCGCTAAGTCGCAATTTCCTGGAAGACGTAGGCGAGGAAGACCTAAGATTACTTCATACGAGAATCATATGCAACACATATATGGGGTATTAGTATTGACATGATCCAGATATAAATTCTGTAGAATAGAAGAGCAGAATAGTATAGTAAAAATCAAGAATTATTGCCGCTATTTAACGGAATTTGACCACGCTTGTAAAACATGTGCTTCAATCACTTCTGCTCTTATAACCTATTGCATTAAATCATCTTGTGACTAAACAGTTTCCTTTCAACATTTCATTTTAATTCAATGCCCAACTTATAGATAGACAAAATGAATATTTCTCTGTATATCGCGTTATGAAACAGTTGATACAAACTTACCATAAATTTGTTCCGGTTTTCTTGGGAAAATGTAATCCATAACAACCTTATGGCCTTTCCACTTTGATTTTATGTAGAACAATATATACCTAAAATAAAAATGTCAATTTAACAAGTACCAAAAGCTTGGAAGCGTAAAGGCGAACTGGAAAAACACGTTTCTGGAAAACTGACTATAAAGTTTAAAAACATGTTATAAAAGTAAGGGCGAACAAGTTTTATTTTATTAACAAAACTTAAAAGAGGATAAATTATGAAGCTATTTATTTATGGCATGTTTGATAAAGGTATAGTTTTATGGAATTTAGCTACAATTGTACTGGAAGCACTGGAATTGTTTTTTAAGAAAGAAAAAATTTTTCTTTAAATGTAATTATCATTACAATTACAACCAATTGTGGCTTAATCCCATAAAACTATACCGTTAGTAAAAGAGTGTTTTGCAAGATTTGCAATATTTTTATAAAATGAAAAGAAAGGGGGTTTAATATTTTTTATTCTACGGAAATAAATATAGTTTTGTTAACAAAGTACTTATGTGGAAGCTAATAGCAGTAAAATAATTTGCAAAATTCACAAATAATGCTTCAAAGAAACTTAATTTGATTTTCATCGTCTACAGTTTCTTCGACTTCAATTGTACTAATTCCTCCACTAATAGCTTCTTGTAAAGCACGCTTGTGATGCATGAGGATGAGCATGAAAACAACGTTTATGTTCTTATTTTGACCGGCATAGTTATCACTAAAAATTATAACTTTTCTCACATGCTTATTAACAAAGTTCTCCAAGTAGTGACTAAGAAAACTGGCTATTTCGCACGATCCGCGTTTACCGCGAATACACCTTATCTAATAAGGTCAGTCTCATCGTATCTGGGGAGACAATAGTTCGTCAATACAGACAACAAAAATGTATATCTCAACTTTCAATGTAAGATCTTTGTCTAAAGACGAGAAACTCTATGAATTAGAGGAAGAAGTTAAACACCTGCAATTGGACATAATCGGACTATCGGAGGTAAAAAGAAAAGGCGAAAACTGCATCTCGCTAGAGTCTGGAAACATATTGTATTTTAAAGGTAGAGAAAACGAAAGTTTAGATGGAGTTGGTTTTTTGATTTCTAAAAAATACGCTCATAAAATTAACGAATATCTAGGAATAACAGAAAGAATCGCTTTATTAATCATAAATATCAGCAAAAAGGTCACTTTAAAAATAATTCAGATTTATGCGCCAACATCTACACACACAGACGAAGAAATGGAAGAATTCTATGAACACCTCACAGAGTCCATGACGTATCGAAACACTACCTACACGATTATAATGGGCGATTTTAATGCGAAAATGGGCAAAAAAACTAGAAGAAAACGATAACTGTATTGGAGAATTTGAACATGGAGTAAGAAATGAAAGAGGAGATCTATTGGTTAACTATCTAGATAACAACAAATTATTTGCCATGAACTCTTTCTTCAAGAAAAATCCACATAGGAAATGGACGTGGATGTCGCCAGATGGGAACACTAAAAATGAAATTGACTACATACTAACAAACAAAATGGACATTTTCGAAGACGTCACAGTAATTAACTCAATCTCTACTGGTAGTGATCACAGAATGATACGGGCTAAAATAAGTATTAAACACAAAAAATATTGAAGACAATTATGTGCACTCTAAGAAAAAGTCCACACAGACAAATTACAGGAAAATAAAGAACAATACCAAAACAACTTTGAAAATAAGGCTATTATCGAGCACAAGTTAATTAAATCTAGCCCAAGTACTTTCGCTTAAAATAGCATCTTCAGGGGCATTTCGTCAAAATGTGAACTATCCGGCAAGCGTAGAATGTGGAAACATTAAAATTAACATAAAATTGTACAAAACACTACACTAAAACGAGGACAAACAGTTTAAAATTACTTCTACGCTACATTCTCTGTCAGTATCTGGAGGGATAATCTTTATGGCGAACCTTGAACGCCCATTCGTAACGCAACGCAACGAAAGCCTGTGGGTTCGCCCTGCTCCTTGCTCTTCTAGACGAATATATAGTTCAGTTTCTGACTTGAATGGATTGGTATATAATTTCTTACAGAATTTTAGGAATATCAAGGACGAAACATGCTTTTATAACATACACAAGCATTCTTTAAAGGTTTGTGAGAAAGATGAGACTTTTTAGACTGTTTTTCTCTTCCAAGCTCCTGATATGCAAAACGTTCGTTAAAAAGTTTAAGAATGAACTAACTATATATTCTTGAACCATAAAACTTAATAATGGATACAATAAACATGGATGGGTAAAAAGGATCCCAGAAGTTGAACGCTATGTTAATTAACGTAAAAAATAAATCCTGCCTGGATTTTCTGTCTTTGAATTTAAATTAAACAAATAAAACCCGGTTTAAATGATAAAGATATCGAACTAAATAGAAAAATGCGAACCTTAACTTTTTTAATTTGAGACACAAGGAAAACTCGTAGGATCCTATAGCGTTTTTATGCGATGCAGTGTACGAAGGATACGGCCACGCTAACAAAATGAGAATTTTCTTGACAATGTTGCCGATCTTCATGGCAGCAATCGTACAAACAACATACAATCAGAGATTCTCAAGAATTCAGTCACAAAACTAGATTTTTTGTATATCGTCGTTGAAGAAACAAAACCGCCTAAGTGCCAAAAAGGTAATTTTTCAGCAGCCAGTAAAAACTAATTAATTAGAAAAGTTATAAATAAAATAACACAATTTTGATCTAAATAATTAAAAAATTTAATAAAAATCCTTTGTAAACGGTATATATTTAGAACCCAAACGGGCTAAGTTAAAAAGACAAAACGTTTTCGGAATCCATATTCCATCATCAGTGTCTAAGAGTACATGAATTAAGTCACTAAATATATGGGTAAAAACCCGTTAACAAACAATTAATTACATTTAGTTTACAAATTTTCTTATAATGGTTTAAGATGTTAAAGTTACCGTTGGATTAGGTAACATGGCGACATATGACTCCACGTTGAAGTTGCTAGTCTTGAGACAGTGTGTCTACAAAGACTGTATGGGAGCAACTCTATATGGAAATGGTTTACGTAGGGCCTCTTTTGCATTATCACAATACTGACCGGGAAGAGATTTATCTCGATTTTTTAATTTTGCTTCAATCGCGCTATGAACGGAATCACATTCCATCTGCGTATGTCCCTTGGTCAAAATTTTTTGTTTGATAGTAACATTCCATTGTTTGCTAAAGTGTATTTCTGTGTTGATAGTTACAGCCATCCGACCAAAGGATAACTGGTAACTGTTTTTCTTGCAAAGCGTTTTCCAAATTATGTATAATGCAAGAAGCAAATGAAGAGGATAGCAATTCTGTAGCTGTTTCGTCGAATCAGTAATAAACCGCGTCATGAGTGTGGGTTATACATAGTAAAGTTATGTAAATTAAACTTTTTTTATAATAAAATGCGCTGGCTTGAGTTATCGGAGCTTGCGTAAATTTAGTGGCTTGTGTAAATACATGTACTTCACCTTTTAAGGCTCTTTCTTTGTCTTGTCCTTTTTCAATTTGTGCTCTTTCTTTATTTTGTATATGTGTATTATACTCAGCTTCAGAAATGTTTCCACTTTTATGTCATAAACATAAATCGCACTGATCTTTCCTCGGATTAAACAGTGACAAATTATCTTTTTTAAAAATTGATTCAAAAGTAAATCTACTGACTTTTTTCAAATTTTCTTGTGGCAATCTTTCGAGATAAAGACTGTACAGTTGCGAAAGTGATGTTACGATAGAACGCGAAAAAAGAAAAAGCTTAAAAAGAATAAGGCATCAATATTTCAACACCAAGCGAGTCAAGCACTGAAGTTGTTTTACAAGAGTGGTCGTCAAAGGATGAAGAAGATTTTTAAGACTTGTAACCCATCTTTAAGAATGAAAGTATTAATGTGGGAAATTTTGTCTTGGTGAAATTTATAGTTTCCAAAGGATAAGAAATATGTGATTAAATTTCTATGTTGTAAATGTAACAGTTTTTTGTTTCCTACAGTCGACGAAATTTCAGTAGTAGAAAAAAAGACTTCTTTTTCATTCTTCTAGTATGTAGGCTTTAAAGCCTGTTTCTTCTTCAATATTAGCCTCCTAAATTGTCGCACCATCTTTTTCTTGGTCTGCTAATACTTCTTCATCCATTTGGTGACTTATCTCGTGGTATTCATACTATTCTATCCTCTGCCATTCTACTGATATGTTCGTTCCACTCCTGTTTTCGTTTTGTCACCCATCCATTTATGTCTTGTATATTGCATGCTCTTCTTATGTTTTCTCTTCTCTCCCTATCCAATAGACTTCTCCCTGATATTCGTCAGAGTATTTTCATCTCTGTTGTTTCTAGCAGTCTTCTCGTTTTAGATGTGTCACGTCTTGTCTACGCCGTGTATGTTAATATAGGTCTAATTGCTGCTTTATAGATTCTTGTTTTTGTGTCTTGTCTTAGGTGTTTGTTCTTCCAGATTGTGTCATTATCCGCCGCTTTACTTGCTTTTAAGCTTTGTTGTCGTACTTCTTCTTCAACATCTCCATAACTAGTTATATCTATTCCCAGATATCTAAACCTTGTTTCCTGCTTTATTATTTTCCCATCAATTTCGAGTCTACACTGTAGTGAGTATTTAGATGTTGTCATACATTTGGTTTTGTCTGCTGATATTATCATATTGTATTTCTTAGTTGTTGTATTGAAGATATGTGTTAATCTCGTCTTCTGTCTCAGCGGTTAATGTGGCGTCATCTGCATAACATAATATTTGGATTTATTTGTTCCCCATTCTGTAGCCATGAAAGAAAAAAAGACATTGCAACTATTTTGCCTTTTTCTTCTATTCAGGGAACTGCAAGTGTTTGTCAATTTAATGTTAATTTTTCTGGCGTAAATTTAAGATAAGGTGCTATGTATAACTAAAATACACACATTTAAGATGTTTTTTGTTTTCTTTTACTATTATAATGGATAGCCCAATGTTCCCCTCTATATAGCTAAAACTAACCCTCCGGTAATGCAGTTTCGGCTATTTGTCAAAAGAAAATAAAAACTCAAAATCGTAAATTTATTCTTTAGAGTAGCAAGTAATGATATCTATGAGCATATTTACAATTATAACTTACCTTAATATAAGGGGTAATATACTCCAAATAACTCTTAGACTAGGTCTATAGTCCTGATTCCTCTTCTCTGGATAAACATAATCTAAACTTAACTTAAGTCCATATTTTGGAGGCAATGTATGATTTACTTTAGACATTTTATCTAGTTTGTTATTGCTAAATCATTTACACAGTACCTAAAATATAAACAGAAAAATTATAAATATGAATAATTAAGATATCAATAACAATGCTTATAATAACTTGAATATTTTATTATGCAGGAGATTATACTAAAATTCATATATGAATATGAATTTTAAGAATATTCATTAACTAAATCATTCATGAGTGTTAAAAACCTTGTCAACAAATTATTAGTGAAAGCATTGGTGGCTCACAAAAGATGGAAGTGTCACTAGTAGTTTACAGACAGACTGTCAATTACTGTAGTAATATGCAGGGACTTAAACAATAAAATAGAAAGTATCATTATAAATATAGGACAATGGAAAGGAAACCTATCTGGAACAACACCAGAAAATTATTGTGTAACAAGTAAATAGAGAATTGACAAAGCAAAAGAATATTAAACTTCTTTATCAAACAACAACTTCTTTACTCCTAGCCACTAAACAGTATGAATTTTGTAGAGGCCACAGCACTATAGATGCATTGACCCATATGGTCCCAGGTGCAATATAAATAATGCTTATCTGAAATCAAATACATATTTATTCATTGATAAATACATATTTGTTGACCTAGAAAGTGCATATCATATGATATGATTGATTTGAGTATCTTGAAATCAAAATTGTGTAGAATAGGTATTAAATAATTTAATTAATTTGTTTTTAAACAGAAAAATTTATATTTGTGATCACAAAAATGTACTCCTTGGACCAAGAACAATATATAATGGTTTACCACAGGGATCAATATTGAGTCCACTTCTATTTATAATATTTACACAGCAAAACTGCATATCTTGATGGATGACACTATAAGTTATTCAGTATATATTCAAAAGACAGTGGTTATGTGTCTTACTAGGCACAGACTTAAAACCCCTGATTCCTATAAATACCCATAATGAAAAAATATAAATATATTGGCAATATATTGAATACAATTTGGTATGAAAACGCTGCATGATAGATGGTGATGGAAACAGGGGAGTGAGCCCTCAAAACTAGATGATAGCAATGATTACTAATAAGAATTGTCCAAGGGTAATGAATAACCATCTAAAGAATATGGACAACAATTAACTTAGCACTGTAGCTCTTAACTTAAATTGTGAAATATTACAATAACAAGCACTTCATGAATACATGGTTTTATACTTCCAAAGCAGCCAAGGTAAGTTAGACTAAATAATATGAGTCTAAAATACATTTCTACAACCCATGTCATATAAAATACTGTGTTGGTCAAGTATTAGACAAGGGACTTAAACCAACAAATTTGGAAAGGCAACTATGGATGATTAACCACTGCGGTATTACAATATGCTGATCCAGAATAAAAAGTAAAAAAGGGAACAAACTTAAAGCCTAATTTGAGTGATTATATTAAATACAGGGTGTCAGACATGTTTCTCATCTCATCATTTCAATTGTTATGGATATAATAAATTGCAACAACAATAGAAAGCTAGTTATAATTCAAGATATAATCAGTATGATAATAAATTTTGGAAGTATAGAACATTCAATCCATAAATTGTATGCTGTATCTAAATTAGAATATGTAAAATTAACCTAGAGAAGATCACCACAGGAGCAATGCAACAATTTTGTAGCATCAATACTGTAAAACCTTTCGAGCTACAATCAATGTAACAATGTAACGGCAGAGGTAGCTATGGCAGCCTTGAAAAATGAATACAATGCATACATTCCAACAATTTAGATGGAGAAAAATAAAAGATAAACAAATAAAACAATACCAGAATTATATAGAACATAATTGTATTTTAAACTAAATACAAATCTAAATGTAGTTACAATTAAATTATAGTAAAATAGCTACTTACAAAAGGAAAACTAATACATATTTGTAAAATAAAATTGTTTCTATATTATTCACTAACACAATACCTACTTTTCCTCTCGAATCTTACATCCATATGTAGTCTATAAAATATCTTTTGTTCTATTTCAAATATTTACATTAATAAAGATGAAATATTGATTGTACTATAAATATTAACCAAAGTTTGTGTACATTGAAATTAAATCAACATAAATTTGTAAATATAATACCCAACTCACAGATACCTTTTTATATAGCACTGGAAACTGGAAAACGTGGACAAAATTAAATTTCATCCACAACAGTTGAGTATACTTTAATCTGTACTTTAATACTTTTGCCAGTTTTATAACCTAAAATTCTATACAATTTTTAATCAGCTGGAAACCTTTTGTTTTGTTTAAAAAAAAATATCGACCAATCAAGGAGTTCAATAAACAGAAGGGACATTTACCCGCCAACATTAAAAACTTTAAAGAAATTTACATTTTTATTATTAGCGTTGGAAACTTAATCCAGTTATTAGAGGCAAAATGTAATTATTGAATGTCTAAAAATCATACGAAGCGAAGAAACTGAATTTTGCCGAGGAAGTTAATTTTGGAATCTAAAAAAAATGCAAAAAATTGAAGTATTTGAATGTCAATTAGGCGCGCGAAATCAATTTTAAATAAAATTTGTAACAACTCAGGGGTAAAAATTCAATATCTTTTGATAAGAATGTCCTATTGACAAAAAATGAAAATGCGCTTTAAAGGTAAAGCTGATTTCGTAGACATTTTTTTTTTGTTGCAACTAAAGTCAGTTTTTATAAAGACGTTAAATTAATAAACGTTGCGCGATAATTGCCATTTTTTATGATTCTCATGAGTTTAATAAAAAACACTTTCTTTGAACCTAATCTTCAAAACCTATAACATGAAATTTTTTTTTGAGTTTTGGCAACAAATACTTATGAGGTATATGAATTATGAAAAGTATTGACGACCATATATGACGGAGTTATGAACAGAACTCTGGAGAAGGCGATATAATTTCAAACTCTATATAAACATCACCAAACTTTTTGGTGATGTAGAAATCGTGTAAACCATCAAAATAAAACTTAATAAACATTAAGATGGGTGGTTCATGTTAAGCGGATGTATGAAAGTGGTTCTGCTAAAATGACCATGCTAAATAGGCCGGTTGGAAGAAGAAGAATAGGGAAGACCTAAACTCAGATATCTGATCGACGTACAGGACGATTTAAGGGAGATTGGAGTACCTAAGGAAATGGAGAAGACAGACATTCGACAGGGAAGGATGGAAGAATTTTTTAATATATTAATTTATACCAGGGGTCTCGTCTAATCGATAAGACCGAATCTTAATAGACGACAACGTGAAAACTACTCTACAGATACAACACCCCGCCAGATACATAAGTCGTCTACAGTCGACAATTCCAAGTTCCAACATCGAAAAAAGTACCCATGTTCGTCCGTCTAAAGATTTGGTCTACTGGCAAGGATCGATCTCAACGAAAACCGATCATCTCCACGGAATAGCAAAATACGATTGACTACTAATCATCATAATCATCCAGCCTCAAGAGTCCACTGCTGAACATAGGCTTCTTCCTCATGTTTCCAACCCCGTCTATCTTGCGACTCTCGAAACTTCAAGAGATATCGTTGCTATCTTTGACTAGAAAAAATACGGCCTTAGAGGCGTTCAGGCATAATACCACGGATGGCAACTTCGCACCATTACCCGCTTGAGTAAGTGCGTCAATCACGAACCGGCAATTCCTCTCATACTGAGCAGGATCACAACGATGAGTTATTAGTAGGGTAAAATTAACCTGTCTCATGACGATCTAAACCCAGTTCATGTTCCCTATCTATGGGTGGACAATCCAACACTTGGCGCAAGGATCGAAGGATAAAAAAGTCACGTTGCTATGAACGCTTGGAAAGAGGGAAAGGTCTACGTCCACAGATGTATGTTCTTTTCTGATTAGATAGAATTTGTATAGAACGAGTGACTTCATTGGAAAAATTTTCCATCTTACCATTGACATTCACATGGGTATGTTTAGGTATACTAGGCTTACATATGGAATAGCTTGTGCACCAGCTTTGTTCCAATCTGTTATAGACTAAATTCTCTTTGGTATACAAGGTGTTAGTGTGTACTTGGATGATGTTTTGATTGCTGGTAGTTCTTTGGAGCATGCAAAGGAAATTTTAGGTAAAGTATTAAGTAAATTACGAAATACATGAAAATAGGTACGCAACCACAAATACTGCGGCCACTTGTTATAGAAAACGACGTCATCGAAGCAGTTAACGAATTTGTATACCTGGGAACGCTCGTCAATACTGAAAATGACACTACCGCAGGGATAAACCGCAGAATTTGCACGGCTAATAGATCCTATGTTGGGCTTAATCTCCCTTTTAAATCTACAGTTATATCAAGAAATACAAAAGTAAAACTATACAAAACAATAATACGTCCTAACATATGGTTCAGAAACCTGGACTTTAACAAAAAGCAATGAAAACATGTTAGGATGTTTCGAAAGAAAAATACTAAGGAGAATCTATGGAGCGGTAAATGAAAACGGTGTCTGGAGAACACGATACAACTTCGAACTGTATAGAATATACCAGGAACCAGATATCGTAAAACACATTAAAATAGTACGTCTGAGGTGGGTAGGCCATGTAATGCGGATGGAGCAAACCGGCCCAGCTAGAAAAACGCTCCTTGATAGACCTATCGGTCAAATAAGAAGAGGAAGAACCAGAACAATTCCTAGATAACATAGATCAAGATATGAGAAATATGGAAATACACGCTTGGCGGAGGAAGGCGATGGATAGGGACGACTGGAAAAAAATTCTTGGGGAGGCTAGGACCCACACAGGGTTGTAAAGCCAAAATGATGATTAAGTAAATTATTTGAGTTTAATGTGAAACTAAATGTAGAGAGAACTTCTTCGAACTCTTTAAGGAGAACTTCTCCTGAAACATCAAGACGAAGCAGAACTAATCTGACTTGACAATGGCAAGTGTGACCTTGCCGAAACGTCGTCAAAACAATGGTTTTTCTAAAAACCAAAATTACTTAACGCGGAGTCAAACCCTCTATATATATATATATATATATATATATATATATATATATATATATACATATATATATACATATATATATATATATATATATATATATATATATATATATATATATATATATATATATATATATATATATATATATATATTTATATATATATATATATGAACCGCATCGATATCCATTGGGCCGAGCTTTCGACATCCTCTATGATGTCTTCCTCGGGGCTTCCGAGATCTCAGTCTCTCGAGCCCTCAGACACTACTATACTTGTCCCTGTTCACTTCGCTATCACTACTGAACCCTACAATAACAAAAGTGGTGAAAAAACGTAGACTAGAATGGCTCGGTCATCTAGAAAGAATGCAACTTTAATAGACTAGTCAAGAATATTGCTTGGAGAGTACCTCCAATGGAGAGAAGAAATGGAGAGATGTAGTCATGTGATGGAAGATGTCAGAGAGATGGGAATCAGAGATTGGAAGCTGATAGCTAAGAACAGAAAACGATGGAAATTATCCATCCAGCAATGGGCCTAAAAGGCCTGTTAACGCTGTACATACATACCAGTATCTGGTGGAGAAAGTCTAATATTGCAACTCTTCATGCAATTACGAGTAGACATAACTCCTGATCTGCTTAAAATAAAAACATGGTCTGACTCTAATTTACTCTCTTTTAACGTCGATAAGACAGTAGCATTATCCTATACAGGAGGTCTTCAACCCTTCTATTGTTGTTTCTGTGAAATTTTTTGCTATTTTTATAGACAGCAAACTTAGATCATACCTTCATTTGTTAAGTAAGAAATTAGCCTCATCCTGCTATACAATAAGATCTAAACTTCAACTTATTAGTTCGTAAGGTTTTATTATGCAATTTATTTAAATATTACAAGGGATTGTTTATTTTATTATCTTTTATTTTGTGGTGATTGATACACAAGGTAGTTAGACTAGCCTCTCGAAGTATAATACTTTTGGCTATAAAATTAACCTTATTATCTATTATGCGAAGACAATTTCTAGCCATAATATTTCATGTTTCATTCCGCCTTTCAGCAATTTTATTAACATACCTACATTATTAACATAATTAAAATTAAACAATATTTTCTGAATATCTCATCGAGTCCTAGTGAAAATAAACATATTTACTGAGCCCTGATTATCTTAAACCTCTCTTTTTATACACATGTTTCGAGTGACCCATGTTAATAAAATCCTTTCAATAGCACCAAATTTAAGAGCCCATGTAATGCTTGTAATAAGATTGTGATCAATTTTATGACATTTTTCTTTATAAAAATTTGCAATTAACCCTTTTCAGATTTTTAATTGTGTTTAAAAGTTCTGCTTATAGATTTCATAAAAGGAAACAATCTTTCTAATTATTTTACAATGTCCGAATATTTTTATATCATTTTGCAACACATAATTTGAAATCTCCTCTAAAACCGAATATAATAAAGGATGAGAAACTTGCTTATACCTGATATAATATAAATATAAATGAAATGTAAAATCCGAGACTCTTGAAAAGAAATAATAAAATAGGACATTGTAAACTTGTTTTAAATAGTAAGTGTTAATATTTGTCACAGTTTTTATTAACATTAACATTGTGTCTACATTTTTATTTATAATAATTTATTTACTATGCATTTTGAAATTTTGGATTTTCAGTCCACCTTGTATCACAAACAAGAATTATTTTCAAGCCCACTCTGTAAACTTCGACTAAAAACTGAATGTTGTTGTGTTGCCTGAATTTAAGGCAAATATTTAGTTTTTCAAACTACCGTGTATATCTCCACCACTACCTAAAAATTCTAAAAATAGACCTGATTCACGAGATACCTGAACAGTGATTGGTGCATCGATGATTTTCCAACCAATAAAATTACGAGTCGGGAATAAACCGTCGTTTGAAGGTTATCTACCTATCTTCTGGTTGTATATACTTGCATACTGATGCAGTGATGCAGGTATATTAGAAAGTTTCTTCTTGGTATACCCCACAGACCACTAATAATATACCCACAGCACATTATATTTATGCTGTGTTGGTTGGTACCAGAAGTCTCTCTGTCTATATACAGTATATCTGCAACTGCAAGCGTAGACGTGATTGAAAAGTATTCAACTTGTAAAAGCAGAGGTTTAATCGGTCATTTATGTTGGCAAATAAAAAAATGAAGTCGGTTACTTCATTTTTTTAATAGAAGACGTTTCACAGAATAACAAACTATAGTGTAGAGTTGTCGAGACATGCATTTAAAAAATCCAACACAAATAATTTTACATGTATTATTAACCGCAATTAGTCTAAAAATACTTTAGTATTACAAAAGATATATATAATAGAAAAAGCGTAGTAAAAATTGAAATATAAGAGATGTTCATTAAAAAAATAAAATAACACATTAATAGTAAAAAACCCAAATATTGGATATCTTGCTTTTTGCTATTATTTTTATTATCAACATTTGTTTAAATTTATTTAAAATCGGATTAAGTTAGATATATTATGTATTTATTATATTTTAACAATACATTAATCCCATAATGTAATATTAGCTCATATAATATGTGCAACTAAAACAAGTATCTTTAAATTTCGAATTGACCTCCGATGATATGGTACGTTTAAGGCTACAGCATTGGCATTACTGACATTCACAAACCTTCCTCCTCTTCTTTCATGTTTCGAATTGGCGTCTAGGTTATTTTAGATTTTACTTGTCAACACGTGTTGTGAAAAGTTATAAAGAAAATAGTAATTTTGTTTATAAAATAGAGTTAAAAATGTCTGTTTGGCAGCGTGTGGCGTATGTATAGTGCATAGTTAAAATATTTAATTGCTTATGTTTACTTTTTTTTTAGCAAACCCACAACACGAAAAGGGAAGAGAGTGTTATTAAAGAAAGAGCCGCAAGTTATTGAGGGACCTAAGAGAGCACTATTTTTTCACGGAAGAAAAAGCTCGGAAAAAGTGAGGTGTTTGTTGAAAGATCTCTTTGATTTCAAAAAGCCCGATGCAGTTAAACTGAATAGAAAAAATGATATCACAGTGTTTGAAAATGCCAAGCCTGTTGAAGACATATGTAGAAAGCACGAGACGCCTCTATTTATGTTGGGTTCACACAGCAAAAAACGGCCAGATAATCTAGTTGTAGGTAGAATGTTTAATTACAATTTACTAGATATGATAGAATTATATGTAGAATCTTATGAAGGCTTAAAAGAATTCGCAGAATCCAAAATCACTCTTGGCACAAAACCCTGTCTGATTTTTAATGGACCTCTTTGGGATCAAATGGATGAACTCAAACAGCTCAAAAATTTGTTTATAGACTTTTTTCACAGGGAATGTGTGGAGAATGTTAGGTTGCAAGGTATAGAACACAGTATAAATTTTAATGCTACACCAGATGGAAAAATATTGCTCAGATCTTACAGGATTTTATTGAAAAAGTCTGGAGTGAAAAAACCGCGGGTGGAACTGGAAGAAATTGGTAAGTTTTAGTTTGAGATATTTTATAAACAGTAAAAATTCATTTTCAGAAAATATGAGGTCATTGAATTCATGGAAGAAAATACATTTTTAGTGTTATTTTTTATATGACTGTTGTTTATGATATAAATTATTGGTTCTTAGTTAATTTGTTCTAGATTGAGAACAGTCAATCAAGAATTAAAACTGGAGATAAATTTTTCTCTATTAGATGCATTACTTTTTGATGGAAACAAATAAATCAAGGGATTTTTTTGTGATAAAACAATGTAAAATCAAGGAAATTTATTGAATGAGTATGATGCAAAAAACCAGTGTTATATTTTTGCTTTAAAGTATAAAAAAAATGTGAATCAGTGTCAGTGGTAGTTGTAACACAGTGGGTCAATAGACATGAAACAATGTGAAAACAAATGATGGGTTACTAAGAAGCAGTTGAAGATTCAATGTTCAATCAGTTTGTTCACCAATGTGATCTCTAATAAGCAGTGAAGTTTTCATTTACAGCCATTTTATATGAAAACCTTAACCATTATGACTCTCCATTTTAATTTTCACATATGTGTCAATTATACAAGATCAAGCAACAGCAAACACAGTGGCTGTAACTGAAAAAAAAGTGTAAACTAAATGGATCAATTGAATACAGCTTTATCCTACAATTAAAAACATTTTCTGTGTTTAATATGTAACATAAGAAATGGGCAGAATTCAGTAGAAGTATGTTCTGAAGATTTTAACAGAAAAGGTTATGTACCTTTCAATTGCTATAATAAAGAAACCAGAAACTATAAGGGGAATAGCCTTAAATATTAAAGTTAAATTAGGGAAATGAATGGTGAATGAAGAAATTGGAAATATAGGTTGAAATTATGTTCTTTACAATTCCTTGTATAAAAAGAATGTAAAGCAACAAGTTTATACCAGTGTCATTCAATATCATAGTCGCAGTAAATGACTAAGATGATTCTCCAACATTAATGATGTAAAGAGGTAACTGGTGATCCAAATAACTAGGAAGCATGCTTTAAAATAAAGAGACCAAGATCTAATAATTGAAAAAAACAAGTATGTCAAAACATTTCATAAGATGACAAGATGCCCATAGAAGAAAAATTCCTTTTCTTGAAAAATTTTCTTTTTTGGAAGCAACTTCTGGATTAGTTGAAATTGCAATAAACAATTTAATATACAGTAACTGAGTAACTCCAAGTAAACAAAGTACAAGAAGAATCAAAGAAGGTTGGTCTAGAAATAAACATCAACAAAACCAAAGAAATGCGATTTGGTATCAGAAATAACCAACCTATTATGATCAACGACCAGAAAATTGAGAGAGTAGCGGAATTTGTATATCTGGGCAGCATAATTGACTGTAATGGGGGTTCAGAGCGTGATGTATATGAAAGAATAAATAAGGCTCGCAACGCCTACAACATGCTTAACAACATATGGAAATCCAGGATTTACCCAACTAAAACGAAATTAAAAATCTTCAACACAAATGTAAAAGCTGTATTACTGTATGGCTGTGAAACATGGAAGATATCAGCACCCATAGTACACCAATTACAAGTTTTCATCAATAAAGTGTTACGAAAAATCCTTCGTATATTTTGGCCTAACCGAATCTCCAATGAAAATTTATGGAACCAAAGCAACCAAGAAAATGTCATAAAGCAAATAAGGCGAAGAAAATGGAGATGGCTGGGCCACACACTCCGTAGACCACCAAATGACATTGCCAGGACAGCGCTGGATTGGAATCCCCAAGGCCGACGGAAAGTAGGCAGACCTAAGGGAACTTGGAGAAGGACAGTACTGGACGAAGGGAGAAAAATGGGAAAATCCTGGCTTGAAATCAAAGCACTAGCCAGAAATAGAGTTCGCTGGAGACACTTTGTGGAAGCCCTATGTTCCTCTTAGGAATCTTGGGACTATATAACTGAGTAACAATTACAGTAATGGAAGTTGAGTAATATACAATAGAAGTTATATATAACACAAAACATGTAGGGTGCATGCTTCTACAGTTAACATTCAGTTCTAACTGAAATTTTACACTGTATACTAGAAATTGGATTGTATACTGCAAAACCTCAGCAAAATTACTTTTTATATGCATTAAAAAACTCCAGTGCGTTGAGTTAAAGGGAGACTATCATGTGTTTTCTCATTTTCACTATGTGTTTGTTACTATATTGCAGCAGTCATTCAAACTGACTGCTGCAATATAGTAGTATTGTAGTGCAGTTCGATAGAGAAAAATGATGTAAAGCAGTCCCTGAATCTTTATCTAATGGACCAGCTTTATCGACCATTTGATCTTCCTATTAGTCATTTAGGTCATATAGTCAATAAACCTGGCAAATAAGAAAGAGATGCAGGGACTGCTTTATGTCAGTTTTCTCTATGATACTTGGGGAACAGGCTGGTATTGCAACAACCAGTCTATCTTGTATTATATGTCTATGATCTCACTCACTTGTAACAGTTTAACCCCTATAGCCTATATGGGTTAAACTTGCAACCCTATAGGTTATAATTAGTCCATGCTGAATTTAATGGCATAAAGATACTGTAAAATCCCATAAGAACAGATTAACTTTCAAATCAAGGTTGTCACATATGTTCTAAAATGCCTACAATAAAGGTTTTTGTATATATTTCAGTATTATATTCTTCAGAGCCTAATGATATACCTACAGCACTTATTAAGAACTGTATTTTTTCCCTTTGTAAACCTCTATAACAAATTTTTAATTTATCATTGTCTTCATCTGTATTTCCACAATATTGGAAAAATAGTTTTCTTATACCTTTCTATAAATCTGGCAATCATGAGTATGTTAACAATTATAGAGGTATAACTATTCAATCAACAATCCCAAAACTTATTGATAAATTTGTATAGATGAATCTCACTTGGGCTTGCAGAAACATAATTATTGATGAACAACAAACCTTGTCAATTACTAACAATACTTGTTGGGTGCATATAAGAGTAAAATTCAGATCTACAGCATTTATGTTGATTTCTCAAAGGCCTTTCCACAGATCCACAAACTTCATGCACCTGGCTTTGGAACCCCATTTTTAATTGGATTAAAAGTTTTCTTATGGATTTACACAGCAAGTTCGTATTAAAAATTATATTTCAATTCCATTGTTGTTCTGGTGTCCCACAAGGGTCTCATTGTGGTCCCTTGTTTTTTAACTTGTTCATTAACGATATTGCTAAGGCTATCAAAAACTCACACTTTCTGGTATTTGTTGATGATCTTAAGTTATTTCGTTGTATACATGATAAATCGGATTGAGATCTTTTGCAAGATGATGTAAATAATATATATTTATGGGCGAAACAACATGGTTTAAGCTTAAATCCAACTAAATGTTTTTGTATTTCATTTTTTCATATAAATAATCTAGTAGCTAATAGATATGTTCTTAAAGATGTACTCTTGGATTCAGTTACTGAGATTACAAATTTGGGTGTATTATTGGATTGTGCATTTACATTTAGTAGCAATTTTCTAAAAATTAAGGAAAATAGATTTTGTAATCTTGTTTTTATTTATCTTAACAGTCTCTGCTCTGTTGTTTGGTCCCTATTTCATCAAGTCTACATTGATGGATTGGAGAGCATTCAGCGGAAGTTTCTAAGATCTTTAGCTTTTAAAGCACATATTAATATAAGAAAAAATGAAAATTACTTCATAGATTATTCTGTAATGATTGTCTCAATTTAATATTGCTACACTGAAGAACCACAGGTTGAGAGCTGATATGTTATTTTTGTTTAAAACTTTAAACAATGTTATTAATTGTCCCCTATTATTAGCCAATGTGTACTTAAACTCAATACCTACATAGAATGTGACACACTGCACTCTTTTATATTCCTTTTCATAGGACTGATTATGCTCGTCATTTTCCCTTGTTGAGAATGCTCAGCTCTTGCAATGACCTCCTATTAGAATCAATATGTCCAAACATTAATTATTTCAAAACAATGATCTTTACCTTTTACTATTTTTTGTGTTTTGTTGTAAATGGTTCTACCATTGAAATAAATAAATACATTGTTAATCAGTGTTTTATCTGTAAACTCAGCAATTTGTGATTTTTTAGTAAATATTTATTTTCAAATTGAATTGTTATAATTGTTCAGTATTTCTAATTTCTGGTTTAATATTGACAATAAAAGGGCACTGTTTATCGTATCTTATTTTTTGGTATATATTAGTGGTGTTCTATTACACAATAATTGTTCTAGCAGATTTGATGTTAAAAAATCTAAAAAAATGTCACCCCATTCATTTCCGTTGGAGACACCCATTACTATTGTAGTGTGTATAAAACTTGAATAAAACTTACTACACTTTTCTTAGACTGCAGTTGTAATGATAAGATCCTATTAGAATAAGGGGTAAAACTTATTACAGAGTAGTTGACCTTTTTTGCAACTGATCTAGCAACACCATTGTGATAATTGACCTCGTTGTTACCTGAATAATACATGGTTCCGATATTTGCAATTTGTTTGTCTGAACTTAGTCACTGTATGTCACTTTATGGAGGTTTTCTATTTCAAGCAGTACATTCGCTAATTTATGACTTGCATATACACTTCTGACACTCCAAGTTGCTATTTTTAATGGCTTAAATGTATAGGGATTTCTCTGGTTTACAACCTGGGAGGCACTGTGGTCTACAGCTATTCCTCCCCTACCGGATCTTAGATTCTCTGTCCCATAATCAGTAAGTTTGACCTATTTGACCTATTTTTCAGTTCCTCCGCCTTTAGGGCCAGTTTCCCAATCCCTGGACCAAAGACTGTACTTCCATTTACTAACTCACCTGCCTGGAGCCATTGTTCAGTAAGTGGGGGTTGCTTATTCCGGCAATCATTCAGTGAATTACCTGTTGGAGCATGCGAGGTATTTTATTTCCCTCCTACACACCTGTAAACCGGGTCGGACATTCCCCTATCTGCCACCTGGGAAAATGCTTTCTAGAGGTTACAGGTTCTCCAGACAGCTTTCATATTTGCTTAATAGTTCAAAATTTTTTTGATTAATTTGACTTGCTGGCTAAATATACGTTAATAATATATATTCCTGTTGGGAAGTTTAACTAAAAATATTGAACTTTTCCTTTATATTGATTTAATAATCTGCAAATAAAGTGAAAATTGTTGTAATGATTACCAACCTCTCATTTGAAAAGAAAATTTAGGAAGAGAGATAATCATTAAAATGTTAATTATTACTTTTTAAATAACAAGTAAATTTATACAGTTCTTTTATCATTTGTATATTAAATTATTAATATTACATCTGGTTTCAGGTCCCCGAGTAGATTTCACTCTTAGACGATCAAAACTTCCTGATGAAGACCTAATGAAAGATGCATGTCGCAAACCTAAAGAACTAAAAGTTAGTAAAAAGAAAAATATCAGTACAGATGAATTGGGTAATAAACATGGTAGAATACATCTTGGCAAGCAGGAAATTAGAAAAATACAAACTAGGAAAATGAAAGGTTTGAAAAAGACTGCAGCTGAAAGGAAGGCGGAGAAAGTGAAGATGATTAAGGCAATGCGAGAACAAAACGGAACAAGTGAAAATGGACATGGTGATCGATAGTAGTGTCTCAAAGGTGTATCATCTTTGTTGAAGTTGTGGTGTTGCCATTGTTAATTCATGCCTCTCTATTTTTTCTTAATTACTATAACTATTGTTAAAATTTCAGGTTGTGTAGTACTAGCAAATGATATTGTTATCAATAGCGATTTTTAGATTGATTAATTGAATTATTTTATGAATTGAACTAGTATAATATTTTTTATATGAAATGTCTATTGGCGTGTATTGGATTTAAGACGGATTCGATTGCTGTGATGGCAAACAATGTTATCTTGCTTATGTTGTCATGTGCCCTCTCCACTGTGTCAATGTGTATACTTGGTGCGTCTCACCAATCGACTACAATATACTTGACATATTCGCCGATTGTATGCAGTAGTTTTATTTATATTATTGTTGGTTTTAAAAAGACAATTTTTATATCTATAGGGCGTCACGTCAGGACTACAATATCATAGAGTTTTATTAATTTTACATATTCTAAGTATAAAATTTTTATTATATTGGGCTAATTTCACCCTCTTCTTCTACGTCCATACTGTTGAAGATTTATTTCATGCTACTGTTTTACCAATACCGGGTTTTGTTTGTTGTATGTTACTGGATATGAAAACTCGCGTGCTGTCTTCACCTGTCCCAAATTATTTGAATAATTTGGAAGTCCTCCAGTCGCCAGAGAAGAAAATGACACTGAACCTCTAAAAATCATATGAACAAGCTGAATTTTGCCGAGTATATTAATTTTGGGACACCAAAAAGATTCAAAAAATTTTACCACTTTCCTAAAACCCCCCTCGCAAGGGGGTAAAAATGCAAAAAGAAATGATTTACCAAGAATCTGTACACCGTAGAAAAAAATGTTCCAAATAAAAAATGTAGCTAAGATAATTTTAAACAAAAATGTTATTTAGCATTTTTTATGTAGAATGAACCTTACTTAGAATGAATTTACTTAGAATCAACGTTTGAAGCGACCGTCGATTTTGCATGTCAGTTACGGGCGCGAAATCAATGTTCAATAAAATTTGTATCAGCTTGATGTTAAAAATTCGATATCTTTTGATCAGAGTGACCTATCGACAAAAATCAAGATGCATTTTAAAGATTAAGAGTTCAGCTTTCGTTAGCAGTTTTTGTATTTTATACAGGTGTTAAATAAACGTGGCACGATGTACCCCTTTTATTGACTGGCCACTATAAAGTTTCAATTACTAGAGCCTAACCTTTAAAACCTATAGCATGAAATTTTGGTTTTGAGTTTTGGCAACAAATGTAAGGCATTTGAAATATGCTTAAAAAAACTATGGATTTAAACTTTCACACAACAAACGATCTAAAACTTTAAAAGAACAAAACTTCTGCAATAAACTACAGCCAAAACCCCACTTCTTAAATGCATTTCCCGTGACATATGATCATATATAGAACAAAAAAAGACTAAAGTGGTATGGACATGTAAGAAGAACTAGCGACAGCAGATGGATAAAGAGAATAACCGAATGGAGCCCCATAGGAAGGAGGAAAAGAGGACGACCCCGAAGATCCGGAAGGAACGAAGTGAGATCTAAACGATGGAGAATGGGACAACAGAGAGAGATAGAAACGGTTGAGCGAGGGAAGGCTGTGTATACTGTAGAATCCCTGAATATATATATATATATATATATATATATATATATATATATATATATATATATACAGATTGAACGAAATAAATTCGGAACATACGAATTATTATGTATTTTGGCTCAATTTTGCTGTAGGTGGTTAACCAACAAAAGTTTGTCAAATAATTATATTATAAAAATCCAATAAGTACTTCAGCGGGCTGCTGGATTCTGAAATCATAAAAATTGAAAGCTACACATAAATCTACGATTTTATTATGCTGTCAAACCAGTTATCGCTTCTTTAGACAAGCCCTTCTTTGAGCGGTGTTGTCAACCTCATTCCTTAAGATGTTTCTCAAATAAGGTGTTATCCATAAAATATTTACAAGAAAAAAAAAGAAAATAATTACAAACCATTAAGTTTATTTTTGTTATTAGTCTGTTGTAGTAGATTGGTAAATACAATGAAAAATATAGGCAAATATCCGATTTATTTAAAGATACGAAGAAGATATAACTCTCAAAAAGATCCATCGGATTATTACACGGCGATTGGCAACATTGTTACGCAAACAACATTGTTGCGAGAGAGATTTGAACGATATTTTATACAATGTATAAACCCAGGTATGGATTTAATTTTGTCCAAGTTTTATATTGGTCCACTATTTCAAATGCAGTTTAAACAGACATATATTAAATTGTATGATCCGTTTTAAATTCGTTCAATATGTATATATATTTCAAATGCCTCATATTTGTTACCATAACTCAAAATTAAAATTTTATTTTAGAGGTTTTAAAGATTAATCCCTAAAAATTGAAATTTTATTACAACTGGTCAGTGAAAATGATCAACTTTATTGATCTCAAAAGCATCGTAAAAAATGGCAAAAATCGTGCCACAGTAATTTATTTTACACCTTTAAAAAAACTGAGTTTATTCTCGAAAAAATACAAAAGCAGCATATGAAAGCTGCACTCTTTGCCTTTAAAACGCATCTTGTCATGAATTTTGTCGATAGGACGGTCGCTTCTAGCGTTGTTTCTAAGAGAACGAAACGGTTCATTCTACACAAAAAATGCTTATAAACATTTTTGTTTAAAATTATCTCAGCTAGATTTTTTATTTGAAACATTTTTTCTATGGTGTACAGGTTCTTGTTAAATCGATTTTTTTGCGTTTTTAACCCCCTACAAGGGGGGTTTTAGGAGGAAGCCCGAGGCTAAAAATGGTAAACTTTTTTGCATCTTTTTTGGGGCCCCAAAATAAATATGCTCGGCAAAATTCAGCTTGTTCGTCTGATTTTTAGGGGTAAACTCTCTGACGACTGGACTAAGGCGAAACGTCAAATAACGTTGTTTAGATAGAGCTGAGCTTTGTTTAAATAAAAGAATAACTGGAAATGAAGATTATGATGATATTCCTAACTACTAAAAGTTACTTTCGTGTTTTACCATTTTACATTGTATTCAGAGTTCTTAGGTCGTGGTGTGGAATTATTTCTTCCTGACCTTTTGTTTGCAATTGCTGAAAAGTTGGCGATGTGGGAGCTGACGTAGACATCAACTTATGTCCTCTTCTATCGCTTACTGATTATAGCGCTATTTATAGCCTTTGTGTGCTCCCTGGATCTGTCGTTTAGTCCTAATAGACAATTTATTTTTCGGTATGTCTGGAGAAATTTTTATGTGGTAGACATAGTGGATCTTCGGCCGGTTGTAGTCTTTCTTGTATCGTCTTTGGTGGTTTGAAGATGGACTTGACGTCATGTATTAAAAGATTCTGCTAGTTCAATTTAAACCTTTTTTACCATATATTAAAAATGTTTCAGATTGAATAGACAAAATATTAGCAAAACAAAACAAGTCCATGTGTAAACCAACAAAGATGATCTAAGAAAGTCTAAGATCTGCCATAATCCAAGTGAACCGTTATATGCTCAAGTAATTTACCTCATTTCTCAAAGTTGTTCAGTGTTAGTTGGAACAACATTAGAGAGTTTTTGTGCAAGCAAATACGTATACGTAACGTATCTTTTTGACATATAAGCATGCGCATTTAAGGTTGAACTAACGTATCTAGATACGTATTACCTAACGTAACGGGCTGATACGTTACGTTCATACGCATCCCTATCGAGCCGAAAGTAACCGAATGCATGCGATTACCAAACTATCAACATCAACATTTCATCACATTTGTGGTTAAGTATATTTGTTTTGATTTTTATAAATAATGGAAAGTAGTAGAAAACGTCTTCGCTTCAGCACTGAAAATGATTTGTTTTTGTTGAAGGAAGTCGTAGGCCATTATCCCTTACGATTATTCAGAAAGGTGGAATTTAATCCAACAGTGAAAAAGATTTTTACATTGTATATCAGACATGGTATAAATTAAAGCGGTAGTATGTTCGTGCAAGATGTGGAGAAGAAACGCATTTTCTATGTCCTCGTTTTCTTTTACATCAATACAGGCACCTACATTTATTATTGCGTCCAACTCCAAAATTAAAAATTGTTGAAAAAATATTTAATATTTATTTTGAATATTAAAAATAGAGTTAAATGATAAGCACAACTGTGCCACTGACAACTTATTAGTTTATCATTAATTCGATGAGGGCAACACCATCGTTACGTTACGTGCAGAACAAAAACTCTCAATTTAACCTTCATTTTCTTCGATACGTAAGTTCTTTACGTATAGGGAGATACGTTACGTTAGGTAGTTACAAAAACTCCCTATTTATTATAAATATTTGTTGTTTGACTAATTATAAGAGAAGTTGTTGTTTTGACACTGCGAAAAATAAGCTGTTGCAGAAAATATTGTCAAAACAAAAATCACTCAATTTTATTTGAAGAAATACAGGCGTTTACTACAAAATCATAGGACAGTCCATGGATGTTTAGATAGGCTATTTCAGTTTAAAAAAACACGATTATATTCTTTTGCTCTTATGTTAAATATGTGGACCAGTCTTTGCAGATCCTTATCTTGGGCTATCAATATTGCGTTGTCTGCATAAGGGAGTATTTTTATTTCTTTGTTTCTCATTCTGCATTCTCTTCCTTTGTAACGGATTCATTGAGCTCCAAGCTCTAAGACCATGGAGCTCAATGAATCCTCTTGTCTTATTTCGCTGAATACAATGTACTGTTACAAAACACTGGCTGGAAAGATTACATTTTTGACACAGCATTGCCTTTGATGTAGAATTAAATTCTTGTACTGTCAATTTATAGATCATGTTTATTCTTGACTATAATGTATCATCGTTATGTCGAAGGAAAGTTTTTCAAGGTTAGGTTAGGGTTATTCAAGGTTTACGATTTGATCTATATGCCTACTTTTATGATCCATGGTTTACGTTAGTCTTATTCATCCTTTATAAATGATCCCACCAAATTTATTTGTCGTCATTAAATATTCCTTCTTATTATGTCTTTATACCTTTGGGCCATCATATGCACATAAAGGTCAAAATATTGTTTTTTGTTTCATGTGTTTTCTGTTTTATCTCAGGGTTATTACAACATCGGCAAACGCTCTTTGAAGATTTTTATGCTTTGTAAATATCTATATCTAGCATATAGTTTCTTTAAAAGTTTCTTACGCACCAACTTTCTCTTAGCGCCTTTTCTATATCCTCTTAAAGTATTAACATTTTCTGTAGTACCTCTTCTGAACTTCTCCAGCTTTTGTATAAGCTCTAAACCGTTCTATAAACTCTTCTCGTTCCAAACCTTATTGTTTCAAATGAATTATTTCCAGACTGTATTCACTGATTAATTTAAAGTCTTTTTCAATTGTATGTATCATCATCATCATTGGTTCTAGTAAACCTCGGTAAACCTATTTCTCCATT